GGGGAGCGCTCACCCCGCTTCACGACGTGCATGGTGGCGGCGGGTGCCCCTCGGTCCCTCTCGCTGCCCCTCGGTCCCCCTCAGTGCCCCTCAGTCCCTCTCGGTGCCTCCGCGCCCGCCGCTTCCCGCGCCCGCCGCGCGCGCCCCGCCCCGCTGAGGCGGCCGCCGCCATCTTGCCTGCGGGCACGGTCTCCTGCCTTGCCCCTTCCCGCACAGCCCGGCTCCCGGCGCTGCCTGTGGCCGCCGGCGGACACCAATCCCGGCCCTCATCCCGGTATTGTCCCTGCTTTCCCCCCCGGGAATCGCCCCCGCCGCCGGGGAACACCGCGAATCCTGCCCGCTTCAAAGATGGCGGCGCCAGCGCGCCCCTCCCCGCTGGGGGTGGAGCCGGAGGGACAGGACGGGGCCGAGGGCGCCAAAGACAGAGCCCGCCAAGGGACAAAACACCTCGCCTGAAACGCCAAAACAGTAACTGTGTTAAATTTAATTATTCTGAATCGAGGCCCGGGTGTGAAATGTGTGATTCAACGGGTGAAAATTTGGTTAAAATGGCCTGAAGTGACCCAAAATCGACCTCAAGCCCAGCTCCTCCACCTTCACTGTGGAGATGTTGAATTTCTGGGGAGAAAAATGGGGAAAAATGGGAAAATTTGGAATGAAAAGGGGAACAATTAAGAACATTTGGTGGAAAATGGTGAAAAAAATGGTGAAAATAGGTAAAAAATTACGTAAAAATGGAGAAAATTTGGTTAAAATGGCCTGAAATGACCCAAAATCGACCTCAAGCCCAGCTCCTCCACCTTCACAGTGGAAATGTTGCATTTCTGGGGAGAAAAATGGGGAAATTGTGGAAAAAATGAAGAAAATTTGGGAGTAAATGGTGAAAATCTGTAAAAAAATGGCCTAAAACGAAAATGGGAAAATTTGGAATAAAAAGGGAAAAAATGAAGAAAATTTGGGAATAATTGGTGAAAATCGGTGAAAAAAATGGCCTAAAAGTGGAGAAAATTGGATTAGAAAGGAGCCCAAGCCCACAGAAGGAAGACAATCCCAAATGGCGTTTGGGCTGCCTGGAGCCCGAGCTGCACTCCCAGATGTTCGCCCCCAGGTTCTCCTCGGAGTTTCACAGCCCTGTTCTGAGGGCAGGAGCAGCTGGAACAGCGGGCTCGTGTCTGAGCTGGGCTGCAGAGGGAAGGAAAGCCATGGGGCTGGCCCGGGACAGGAACCAGAGCCGTGGAACCAGCTCTGAGCCCTGCCTGGTGTGCTGAGCACTGCCTGGGTGTGCTGAGCCCTGCCTGGGTGTGCTGAGCCCTGCCTGAGTGTGCTGAGCCCTGCCGGGTGTGCTGAGCCCTGCCCGGGTGTGCTGAGCCCTTCCCAGGTGTGCTGAGCCCTTCCTGGGTGTGCTGAGCCCTTCCTGGGTATCCTGAGCCCTTCCTGAGTGTGCTGAGCCCGCTGGAGATCCCCTGGATGCCCGCGAGGAGGCAGCCGGCCCTAATGAGTGTTAATGAGTGTTAATGAGCGCCAGGCTAACGAGGAGCCCCCCGCCCCAAGGGCTGCGGGGTTTGAATGAACCCCAAGGAGCTCTGTCCCTGGCGAGGCCGGGCTGGGAGGGCTCCGGGAATGCTGATTCCTGCCCTGGAAAAGGTGCTTGGTGCTTTTCAAAAGAGGAAACACGGGCAGCTGGGAGCGGGGACTGCCCCGGGAGCGTGGGGCAGGGACAGGGCTGCATGTGGGCATGGAGGGCACTGGAAACACTGGGATCTGCCGGGGGCACAGCCCGAGGGACGGCTGCTGTCCCTGTGCCACCATCCCCTGGGATGGCTGCTGTCCCTGTGCCATGGTCCCGAGGGATGGCTGCTGTCCCTGTGCCACCGTCCCATGGGATGGCTGCTGTCCCTGTGCCATCGTCCCCTGGGATGGCTGCTGTCCCCCCTGTGCCACCACCCCTGGGATGGCTGCTGTCCCTGTGCCATGGTCCCGAGGGATGGCTGCTGTCCCTGTGCCACCGTCCCATGGGATGGCTGCTGTCCCTGTGCCACCATCCCGTGGGATGGCTGCTGTCCCTGTGCCACCGTCCCCTGGGATGGCTGCTGTCCCTGTGCCACCATCCCCTGGGATGGCTGCTGTCCCTGTGCCATGGTCCCATGGATGGCTGCTGTCCCTGTGCCATTGCCATCCCCCAGCCCGGGCAATGCCAACCACTGCTCCCAGCGAGTGTTTCCCTGTTTGTCCTGGACACGTCCTGCCCCTCAGAGGTGACACTGGGGCACTCCGGGAGCAGGACCCAGTGCTGTCCCCTCAGTCTGGGAAGGACCTTGGGACACTGAGCACATCCAGAGGGGACAGCCAGGCTGGAGAGGGGCTGGGAACACCAACCCTGAGAGGAAGCCCTGAGGGAGCTGGGGGTGCTCCCCTGGAGAAAAGGAGACTCAGGGGTGCCCTCGTCACTCTGCACAGCTCCTGAAAGGTGCCTGTGCTCAGCTGGGCTGGGCTCTGTCTGCAGGGACTGACACAGCCAGAGCACACAGCCTGCAGCTGCACCGAGGGAATGCAGGCTGGAGAGCAGGAAAGAGTTTTTCCAGCAAGGTGATAAAGTTCTGGAATGGCTGCACGGGAGGTGCTGCAGTCACCATCCCTGGGGGTGTTTGACACAGCCTGGATGTGGCACTGGGGGCCAGGCTTTGGCTGAGCTGCTGGGGCTGGGCTGGACTCCATGGGCTTGGAGGTCTCTCCCAACCCAGGGATTCTGGGAATTCTGTGACCCCGCTGCCCACAGAGCTGTCCCATCTCCCGAAGCAGTTTGGGGGTGGCTGCCTGTCCCTGTCCCCATGGCAGTGGCAGTGCCAGCATGTCCCCGGGGTGGATCCACTGTGCCTGTGGACCAAATTCCCACAGGAGAGGACGATGGCAGGGCCCTGGTGCGGGTGGGAGCTGGGGTGTCCCTCTGCTCTGTCCCCACTGACCTGGCCAAGAACCCATCCCCAGCAGGCACCAGCGCCCCATCCCACTGTGCTGGAAGCCTGGCAAGGGCTGCAAGAACAGAGCAGCAGCCAGCAGCTCGTAAAATAGACTACATGCTTTATTGGATTGAAAAGTTTTATGAAATGACAAAAAACAAAAAAACAAAAACCACCTTAAATCAAGAGTTGGCAGATGCGTCAACAGTTGCCGTTTGGTGGATCCCCAACCCCTTCTCCAGAAGCATCCACAGCTCTCTGCCACCAGAAGCAGCTCCGGCCCCGACCCCGCTGGCCCCGCTCCCGGGGGGCCCTGCCCGTGACAGCAGGGTGCCCACAAATCGGGGTGCCCATGAATTGGGGTGCCCACAAATCGGGGTGCCCATGAATTGGGGTGCCCACAAATCGGGGTGCCCATGAATTGGGGTACCCACAAATCAGGGTGCCCATGAATCGGGGTGCCCACAAATCAGGGTGCCCACAAATCGGGGTGCACATGAATTGGGGTGCCCACAAATCGGGGTGCCCATGAATTGGGGTGCCCACAAATCGGGGTGCCCATGAATTGGGGTACCCACAAATCAGGGTGCCCATGAATCGGGGTGCCCATGGACTGGGGTACCCACAAATCAGGGTGCCCATGAATTGGGGTACCCACAAATCAGGGTGCCCATGAATTGGGGTACCCAGAAATCGGGGTGCCCATGAATTGGGGTACCCACAAATCAGGGTGCCCATGAATCGGGGTGCCCATGAATTGGGGTACCCACAAATTGGGGTGCCCATGGATTGGGATGCCCACAAATCAGGGTGCCCACAGACTGGGGTGCCCATGGATCAGGGTGCCCACAGATCAGGGTGCCCAAGATCGGGGTGCCCACGGAATCGGGGTGCCCAGGCAGCAGCCCCGTTGTGGGGCCGAGCGCGTCCCCCCGTCCTCAGGGAAATGCAGGCACTTAAAGTCATTGAGAGGAATTTTTCACTTATCCCAAAGCAACAGTGAAATTGTTGAACTCCCGCCTACGCAACAAAAAAACACCTTTGTAGCCCTTCCTGAATTGTCAAGACACAAATATATTACTCTGGCATAAAGCAAGGCCCCGGGGGGCGCTCGGCATCTGGCCCGGCCTCCTCTTCCTCCTCCTCCCCCATCGTGCATCCTCCTCTGCCTCGGCAGGAGCAGCCCCCTGCCCACCCCAAGGACGTGCGGGATGGTGGTCTGGGGACGGAGGGGGTGCTGAGGACAGGGACCCCGGCCTGGGGGGTCGTGTGGTGCCAGGGAGCTGCCTTGAGTGGGGTGGGAGGGGGCTTGGGGGTTCCCCTGGCAGCCCCGGGGCTGGGCTCCCCCCTCGGGGTGGAATGGTGCCCAGCTGCAGGGATGTGCAGGGCTCACCCCTGGGATGGGCAGGGCTCACCCCTGGGTGCTCAGCCCTGGGGCAGGGCTCACCCCTGGGTGCTCAGCCCCGGGGATGTGCAGGGCTCACCCCTGGGTGCTCAGCCCTGGGGCAGGGCTCACCCCTGGGTGCCCAGCCCCAGGGATGGGCAGGGCTCACCCCTGGGTGCTCAGCCCTTGGGGCAGGGCTCACCCCTGGGTGCTCAGCCCCGGGGATGGGCAGGGCTCACCCCTGGGTGCCCAGCCCTGGGGCAGGGCTCACCCCTGGGTGCTCAGCCCTGGGGCAGGGCTCACCCCTGGGTGCCCAGCCCCGGGGATGGGGCAGGGCTCACCCCTCGGGACAGGCTCGGCCCTCGCAGGGAGTGGGACTCAGCCGCAGCTGCTGCCCTGAGTGGGGACCCCGCAGTGGCCAGGCTGTGCTGGGGACACGCCGAGGTGAGCCGGGGGCTGTGAGCAGCAGGATGTGACCCACAGTGTGCTGGGGGAGGACGGACTGAGCCCCGGGTCAGGCTGGTACAGCCAGGGACACCCCGGCGTGCGGCCTCAGGCTGAGGGGGACACTGCCTGTGAGCCTCCTGCGTCCCTCGGGGGGCACAGAGCCCCCAGCACCCGCCTGCTCCAGGGGAGGACTCTGTCATCTGCCTGTGAGCCTCCTGCGTCCCTCGGGGGGCACAGAGCCCCCAGCACCCGCCTGCTGCTCCAGGGGAGGACTCTGTCACGGTCCTGCCAGCCAGGCACAGCCTGTCCCCTGCCCTGGAGAGCCCTGCTGTGTCCTGGTCCCTCCCTCTGGCCCTGCCCAGCCAGGACAGGGGACATGGGACACGGGACGGGCCCTGCTCCGCGGAGCCCCCTCCTCTCCTCTCCGTGTGGATGTGGCAGCTGGACCTGGCTCTGCACCAGCACCCCTCGGAATGGCCCTTCCCTCACTGTCCCTTGTCACCAGGGCCCTTCCCTCACTGTCCCTGGTCACCAGGGCCCTTCCTTCACTGTCCCTGGTCACCAGGGCCCTTTCCTCACTGTCCCTGGTCACCAGGGCCTGTCCCTCACTGTCCCTCATCACCAGGGCCCGTCCCTCACTGTCCCTCGTCACCAGGGTCCTCAGCCGGGTCCCCGGGTCCCGGTGAGTTCGGAGGAGTGCAGGGGACCGGGGAGGGTGCCCGGGGAAGTGAAGCCGGGGCCGGGCGCGTCCCTCCCGCCCCGTGTCCCCCGGCACCGGGCGGAGCGGCGCGGGGACAGCCCCGTCCCCGCGGGCCCCCGGCGGCCGTGGGCACCGGGAGCGCACAAGTACCGGCAAGGGCAGAGTCCTCCTGCTCGGGAGGGGATCCCCTTCCCAGGGGCGCAGCCGAGGGGCCGGGCCGGAGAAGTGACCCGGAGAAATGAGGGAGAACCGCTGCGAGCCGAGTCACCCCGGGGGGAGCGCGGCGCCGGCCCCGCCCGCCCTCAGCCTGTGCAAAAGTCGGAGGAGGCAGGAGAACAAATCAATAACAACGATAAAAAATAAAATTAAAAAAAAAAAAACACATTGAAACCAAACCCAAAGGCCGCGTGGCTGAGCAGAGCAGGAGTAACTGGAAGCCATGCACAGCAAAGCCGGGACCGCAGCGGTCGGAGGGAGGGAGGGAGGGAGGCAGGGGCGGCTCTTCTCGCGCTTCTCGTCTCGGAGATGAGGAAATAAATAAGTTTAAACAGCTCCTCCCGTGCCGGCGCTGGGGTGACTCGGGGTGGAGGGAGCCGGGGCCGCGCTGCGCTCCCGGTGCACGGCCGGCCCCGGGCCCGGCGGGACGCCTCCGGGGGTGTCCCCCGCTACTTCTTGGGCTTCTTGAAGATCTTTAGGGGGAACTTTTTCTTGCTCTGGCCGAGGTCAACCTCGTCGCCCGTCAGGCTGCTGTCCTCGTCCCCCGGGCTCTTCTTGGCGGCCAGCTGCGGGATGCGGGTGTTCCTGGCGCCGCCGGGCCGGCAGTCAGAGATGGGGGAGGGGGTGTCGGGGTCGGTGGAGCTGGGGCTGTGCGACCGCGACGAATCCGAGTGGCTGGGCTTGCCGGCCGTCGGGTGGCTGATCTCCCCCAGGCTGGAGGACTTCTCCATGCCGTGGTTCGCCGTCATCATCTTCTTCATCACCATGGGGCTCTCGGGCAGCCGCTCCTGCAAAGCCGCCAGGGCGGAGGGCTCCCCGTGCCGGCTGCCGCCGTTGGGGGTGGGCGCGCCGGGGCCCGGGGCCGCGGGGACAGCCTCCTCCATGGACCTGGTCAGCAGCGTGGGCCGGGCAGCCAGCAGCTTGGGCGCCGAGCTGGGGGTACGCTGGTGGTCGCTCAGGTGCGGGATGGAGGAGTCGGAGTCGCAGCGAGTTAAATCTCTGCGGTGGAGAGACAGAGGGGTCAGTGCCGGCCCGGCCCGGCCCCGCGCACACGGATGGCGGCAGCGGCTGAGGGGACCCCAGGGACCCCCAGAGGGGCTGGCGGGGCGCCCCTGCCCGCCCGGCCCCGGCTCTGCCCCTCTCTGTGCCCCAGGGCTGGGGGCTCGCCCCGAGCAGCTCGAGGGGGCCAGGACACAGAACCGGGATGGGACCCATACGGATCCCAGGGGATCCCCCATTCTGGGATGGGACCCATCCCTCCCCACGGATCCCAGGGGATCCCTCATTCTGGGATGGGACCCATCCCTCCCCACGGATCCCAGGGGATCCCCCATTCTGGGATGGGACCCATCCCTCCCCACGGATCCCAGGGGATCCCCCATTCTGGGATGGGATCCATCGGGATCCCCCATTCCGGGATGGGACCCATCCCTTCCCACGGATCCCAGGGGATCCCCCATTCCGGGATGGGACCCATCCCTCCCCACGGATCCCAGGGGATCCCCCATTCTGGGATAGGATCCATCCCTCCCCACAGATCCCAGGTGGATCCCCCATTCCGGGATAGGATCCATCGGGATCCCCCATTCCGGGATGGGACCCATCCCTCCCCACGGATCCCAGGTGGATCCCTCATTCTGGGATGGGACCCATCCCTCCCCACGGATCCCAGGGGATCTCTCATTCTGGGATAGGATCCATCGGGATCCCCCATTCCAGGATGGGATTCATCCCTCCCCACGGATCCCAGGGGATCCCCCATTCTGGGATGGGATCCATCCCTCCCCACGGATCCCAGGGGATCTCTCATTCCAGGATGGGACCCATCCCTCCCCACGGATCCCAGGTGGATCTCTCATTCCGGGATGGGATTCATCCCTCCCCATGGATCCCAGGGGGATCCCCCATTCCAGGATGGGATCCATCCCTCCCCAGGATCCCAGAGGACCCGAGAGCGCTCCCAGCTCACCCCAAGCCCGCTGTCCCCCCAGATTGCTCGGAGGGTCCCTCAGCCCTTGCCACATCCGTGTGTGCGCCCGCACCCCCCGAGCCCCCCGGCCCTGCCCCTCGCCCGGCTCAGCCGGTGCCAACCTCTAATCCCGGCGGGAGGAATTAGAGCTTGGCCGTCCCCGCAGGAAGCCATGCCCAGCCCCGCCGCCGCACGTGGTTTGTGCCCAGCCTGTGCCTACCGGTGACGGCCGAGGCGGCTCCCGGAGCCCCTCTGGAGAGTGGGAGGCAGGAGGCCGAGGGAAATGACAGGATTCCAGGTGGATCTCTCATTCCGGGATGGGATCCATCCCTCCCCACGGATCCCAGGGGATCTCTCATTCCAGGATGGGACCCCCTCCCCACGGATCCCAGGTGGATCTCTCATTCCAGGATGGGACCCATCCCTCCCCACGGATCCCAGGGGGATCTCTCATTCCGGGATGGGATTCATCCCTCCCCACGGATCCCAGGGGATCTCTCATTCTGGGACAGGATCCATCGGGATCCCCCATTCCGGAATGGGATCCATCCCTCACCACAGATCCCAGGGGACCCGAGAGCTCTCCCAGCTCACCCCAAGCCCGCTGTCCCCCCAGATTGCTCGGAGGGTCCCTCAGCCCTTGCCACATCCGTGTGTGCGCCCGCGCCCCCCCGAGCCCCCCGGCCCTGCCCCTCGCCCGGCTCAGCCGGTGGGATTGCCCTGAGCCAGGTGCAGGCCCTGCCCTTGGTCCTGCTGGGCTGCAGAGGCTGGCACAGGCCCAGCTCTGCAGCCTGCCCAGGTGCCTCTGGGTGCCCCATCCCTTCCCTGCAGTGTGTGCCCGCAGCACCAGCTCTGTGTCACTGCCCTGGATCCGTCCCTGCCCTGGTCCCTGTCCCTGCTGATGGTTCCCAGCGCTGGTCCCAGTCCTGGCCTCTGAGGAAGGCTCTCCTCACTGCTCTCCACAAAGTGCTGGCACACGCTGGAGTCCTGGCTGTGCTGGCACGGGGAGCTGGGACAGACCCAGAACGTTCTCCTCGTGCTGGAACAAGAGCATTTCCTCAAGAGAAGCCATGGAACAAAGCGGGCCCTCGTTCAGCAGCTCCAGGGAACACAGAGGAAAAGGGGTCCTGTGGGTGGCTGGCATTCAGCCCCGGATCTTCTGGGGGAGCCCAGCTGTGCAGAACACCTCAGCTCTCCTCTTCCCCAGCAGCAAAGAGCCCTGGGCAGTGCTGGCATTGTCCTTGTCCTCGCAGGGAGCCCAGCCCAGCCGGGTCTGGGAACAATCCCGTGGTGTGAGACCCAGGTTATTCTGAGTGAGCAGCTGGAGCCCCTCCAAGGGACACGAGGGCCATCATCACACGTGTGGGGCCACCGAGCTCCCAGGGCCACCAGCAGATACTGCAGAAGGTCACTGTCACGGCTGTCACTGGGAAAACTGGGGTAACTGGGGAACAGCAGCAGCCAGGGAACAGTGGGGCACTCAGGGTGCTGGGGCTGACCCCCAAAACAGGGACACACCCACACCCCTGGGAACAGTGGGGCACTCAGGGTGCTGGGGCTGACCCCCAAAACAGGGACCCACCCACGCCCCTGGGCTGGCACACCTCGGGGTGCTGCCAGTGCCTTCAGACAGAATGTCACTGCCATCCAGCTCCATCAAGGGATTCAGGAATCTCCTGCCCTTCCCAAATGTTTCTACTCACGGCTTACCACACCTGAGAAGGGGAATTCCTGCTGGGAATTCCTGCCTGGACACTCCTCTCCCAGGGAAGGTGGCAGAAGCCCTCACCTGCACACGCTGAGCCCTTGCTGAGAACATCCACTTGCAGAGGTTCATTTCCTCCACAAATCCCTGGGAAGTGCCCCCTTCCCAGGAGAACAAAGCAGCCTTTGGCTGCAGGGCTGGCACCAGCCCAAGGCCAGGAGTGGCTGGAGAAGGAGCGAGGCTGTGGGGCAGAGCCCTGGCACGGGAAGGGTGCTGGGCAGAGCCAGGGCCAGGCCAGGCGGGATCGGATCCTGGCAGGAATGCAGTGCCCACTCTGCACTCGTGGAGCAGGTGGGAGAGCCCCGAGGGACCCCACGTGCCCTGGCTGGGGATGGGGGCACAGCAACACCTCCTCCCTTCACAGAGAGTGTCCAAGCTCCACCACAGAGAATCTTCTTTTCCAGGAAATCCAGCCCATCCCTTCTGGCTGCCACAATCCCACGGGGAGAGGTCCGGGCGAGGGTCGGTGATATAAATCCTTTTCAAAGCCAGAGGGCAGCAAATACAGGGAAAAATGGATTTTCCTTCAACTGAGGAGACCTCAAGGATGTGTGAAGAGGGCGAGTGTTCCTCGCTGGGCTCCCTCTCCTCAAGCCTGGCAGGCTCCAGTGCAGCAGGGACCAAAGCAGCCCTGCAGCCCTGCAGCGCTGGCAGCGGGCGCGCAAAGTGACGCCAGCAGACGGAGAGCCGTGCTCTGCTCCTGGAGGATCCTCTGCCTGGAGAGCTGGGAACCCGATCCCAGGACAGCTGGTCCCACACCACGGGAGGTGGGCAGGGCCTCGGTGACAGCACAGCCACCGTGTCACCTCCTGGCAGCGCTCTGGCCGCAGCACAGGGCCCGTGTCCCCGCTCCGGGGGTGGCTGTGCTCCGGGATCCTCGGCCCTGGAGCGGATGCACCACAGGGGTTCCACCCTGGGAGCCCCACTTCATCCCTCTGGGCTCATCCGGGGGGGCTGGAGGAGCTGATGCCCAAGAGTAATTCCCAAATATTCCTACTCTGCTCATGCACAATCTCTCCAGCTCTAAGTCAGGAATATATTCCTGAAGGACACAGGGAAGAGCTGGTGACAGCAGCACCCACCAGAGCAGCAGCAGTGCCCACCCTGCTGTGCCAGGCTCTGGGGACATCCCGGCACACAGGACACGCCCACCACGCCAGGGACAATCCAAGGGACACCTGGCACAGGCACAGGGACCTCCTGCATTCCCAACGGGGCACCCACGGGCTGATTCTGGGAGCTGAACACCACAACTTCAGGGATTTTCTTCAGCCCCAAATGAGCCTTTTCCTGGTGGTTCCCACAAGGAAGTGCACAGCAGCAGGGACAGCATTCCTGGGATCACAGTGGCTGGGTCAGAGGCAGCCAGAGGAATGGACACTGCTGAGTCCATGCCAGGACAACAGGGAGGAAAGAGCATTCCCAGGATACTGCCATCATCCCGGATGAGGCTCAGCAAGGCCTGGCCTATATCCCACTGATTTCCATGAGGATTATGCTCCTGAACCGTTCCAGCACACTTTCAAGAAGAAAAGCTATCCCAGGGCAGACTGGCCTTGATGGGATCCCAGGAAGGAATCAGAGGAAGTGTTTTTGTGGAGCAGCAGGAGCCCCTGACAGCTCATCCCTCCTGGAAACCACAGAGCAGCAACTGGACAGGGAAATACCTGGGAGCCCGAGCCTTCCTCCATGCCAGCAGGGCTCCCTGCTCTTTTCCATGGATCCAGGCACTCCAGCACCACCACAGCGACCCTGCCAGCGCTCAGCTGCCTAAGGCAGGATGGATCTGCTTCCTCCTGGCTCCCTCCCACCCCACCAGGACCCACCCGAGCCACGAGGGAGGGAGGGAGGGAGGGTGAGGAGATGGGGATGGTGAACAAAAGCAGCAGAGAGCAAAGCATGGAATAAGGAAAGCCTGGAGTACAGGAGGAGCAGGGGAGGAGCAGGAGCAGGATGGAGAACAAACACCTAATTTTCCCCAGCCCTGCAGCCCACGAGGGATTCCTCCGGGTGTTCCTGCTCGGGTCCAGCCCGGCACGGCCCAGGAGCTGCCCCGGCTGTGCTGCAGCAGGCACAGAGCCCTGGCTGCCTCACCCCTCCGTGTCTGGCTCCCTGTGTGTGGCACCAGGGACCAAGGCTTTTCTCAAGGCAAAGTCCCAGATTTGCTGTGGGGCTGAGCTTGGCGCGGCCTCAACGCGCGCCCAGCAGCAGCTTCCTCCCTTCCACCCTGGCAGAGCTGTGAATTACTCATTTCCCCGGATTCCTGGCTCTCTCCCTGCCCTGAGCTTTGGCTGCCGCCTCCCTTCCTGCTCGGAGAAGGGCCTGGCCACGGGCATTTGGTGCTCCACTCCCATCTCCATGGGTTTTATCCACCTGAGGCAGGCACTGGCGGCAGAAACCCCTGTGCACACACGGCCCCCTCCAGCCCCTCTCCCCCCGGGGACCCCCCGATCCCGCGGCCGCCTCGGCCCGGACCCGCTCTGACCTTATTGGCGCCGGATCCTCTGAAGCCAATTGCAAAAGAGAAGCAGAGAGTGAGGAGTTGAGGGAGAGGCTCCCTGCCAGGATAACCCCAGCAGGACTCCGGAGACAGCCATCCCCAGCCTCGCTCCTCGGGGGCAGCTCCTCGGAGATGTTTCTCCTGCGAGCTCTGCCCAGCCTTGGCTCTGCTGGACGTGGGAGAGGCTAAAGAGCTCCAGCAGCCCCCACTGCCAGGGGTGCCACGTTCCTCCCACCAAGGGAGCCAGGGCTCTGCTCTGCTCCTTGCAGTGACTCCCTGAAGGCCTTTCTGAGGCTCCCCAGTGCGCTGCCTGCCTCCCCGGAGGCTGAGGGATGGAAGGAAAGGCCTCCAGGAGCGGGGGTATCAAGGAGGGGCAGCAATCCATCGGCCCCGGCAGCGGCGCATCAAAGCAGGGCGTGCTAGTGATAAAACAATTATCAGCACGCCACAAAGCCGCAGCCTCGGGCACCCAACTCCTCATTTCTGCTGCTGGGCTGAGCAGGGATGAAGAGGTGAGCTGGGGGAGCTGCCTGCTGAGGTGCAGCTGGAGCAAGTCCCGGCTGGGAGGTTCTGACTCCATGCCTTCCCCTGCAGCAGCAGCCAGGCTTTCCCACGGGAGCAGGGACAGGACACTCCTGCTGGCACCCACTGGTGACCAGATGGGCTCTGACCAGGGCAGGTCGCATTTATTCCCTCCTCTGGCACCATCTCCTTCCCTTCCTGGGGTCCCCACGCTGGATTCCATTTCCCTCTGCTACTCTCAGGTGGTCTGCAGGGACTCAGGCTTTGTCCTGGGCAGGAATTCACGGGCCTCAGTGTAAATAAATCACATTTAAACAGCTGTTTTGGACACAGGACATGAGCCCCAGGCTGCCAGGATGAGCCCTCCCTCCTGCAGAGTCAGGGAGGCAAAGGAAGCAGGCAGCAGCAGCATTCCCAGCTTTTACCAGTCCAATTGGGACAGCTGCAATTGAGCTCCCACTGGTAGGAGTTAATTAATTACACTGCTTCTCATCATCCCCAACCAACCATTACTGAATTAACTGAGATGCTGCTCTTTAATTCTCCACTGTGGAGCAGGTGCAGGAATCTCTCCCTCGGTATTCCAGACTCCAGAACAAGCCTGGGGCTGCTCAGCTTGGAGACACACGGGGCAGGGAGGGGGTGCAACATCCAAACCAGAGACTGTGAACAAGGCCAGGAGAGATCCCAGCACCTGAGGGCAGAGGGACCCACAGGTGAGGGGATAATGGGACATCGTGCTGGGATGGGTGAAGATGTGGTGACTGGGAATGTTTCCCTGCCTGGAGAAATGATGGTGGAAGGACATTTCCCCTCTCCTCTGCCTGACCCAGAGACTTCCAGCCTTCTCCCAGCAGTCTGCTCCCCAGTACCGAGGATCAGCAGACGGGTTTTAATTTTGCCACGGAGAAAGCATGGAACAGAGATGGAATGACCTGGCAGGGACAGGATTCCCTGGTCCATCACAGCCTTCCCACTGCCTGCATCGAGTGCCTGGGACAGCTGAGGCCACGAGCACAGATCCCAGTGCTCCAGGGGGATCCCACAGGGACACAGCACCTTGGGGCTGGCTGCACCCCTGACCCCGTGGCACCAGGACGTGTGGGATGTCACTTGGGTGACAGCCACCCCAGGAGCCTGATCCCGTGCTTGGGACACACAGCATTCCTGTCAGGCTGTCAGGACCCCCTTGGAGCACCAGGCAGGATTCCTGCTCCTCCCTGTCCCCAGCACCATGACCTGGGACAGGGAGGAGCAGGAATCCTGTCAGGACCCCCTTGGAGCACCAGGCAGGATTCCTGCTCCTCCCTGTCCCCAGCACCATGACCTGGACAGCTCTGGCATTGAGGGACGGAGGATAACCAGTCCCCAGGATGTACCAAGGAGCTGGCTGAAAGGGACCAAGCTAAAGCCAACAAAAGCAGCTCCAACTCCCTCCTCGGACACTCCCTAGCCAAAACACCCCCATTCCTCATCCCTACCAGAGCAGAGTCACTCTGGAACACACTCCTGAACTGCCACTCTAGCACCTCTGAAAGCCATCCCAGATTTCTCCAGCTGCTACCTCGTGGTCCCCACCCGTCCTGTTCCCTTTGCAATTCACTCGTGAGGACCCCAGGGAGGTCCAGGCTTCAAATCAGCTCAGGTTTGGCGATCAGTTCTGTTACCTCCTGACATCCCCTTGTTCAGGGAATAGCGAGCACCTGGGAATTCTCACTTGCTCAGCTGCAGTAAAACAACAGCAGAGCACCTTGGGAGCTCGTGGACGTGGGGATGGCCCACGGAATCCTCCTTAGAGGCTCCAGCGGCTCGGGAGAGCAGCGGAAGGAACAAAAGTGGATAAATCACGGAACAAAGGCCCAAAAGAAAAGGGCAGGAGGAAGGTGAGAGAGAGAGAGCACCCCAGCAAGCATCAGCTCTGAGGCACGGCAGGCAGGAGGCAGCTAGAAAAGAAACAGCAATATACCCAAAGCTCCCAGTGCGACAGCGAACTCCAGAGGTGACATCAGGAGGGGGCAGGTCGGGGATGGAATCCATCTGGAGGAAATAAGAGGTGGTGTGATGGTAATAGATAGGGTGGACATGGCAAGCAGGAGCAGGTGCGGTGGTGGTGGATGAGGAGCAGGAGGTGGAGGAGGTGGAGGCAGGCGATGGGCTGGAGCCGGGCAGGTCGGAGCTGAAGGACTGTCCGGAGGTGAGGCTGTGCATTCGGCGCAGGGACACTCGGCCCGCCCGCAGCGGGGCCACGGGGCCTGCCTCGGGCTGCCCCGGCACGAGACTCTCTACCAACCTCTGCGATCCGTGGCCGTGCTGCGGCTCCACCAGGCGCTGCCGGACTGTGCTGGGCAAGGCCGGAGCTGCAACGACACATGGGGGACAGTGAGGGCACGGCCCGGCCTGCGGAGCTCCGCCAGAGAGTGAGGGCTCAGCCCACGGAGCTCCGCCGGCAGGGAGCGAGGGCTCGGCCTGGCCCGCGGAGCTCCACTGGCAGAGTGAGGGCTCAGCCCACGGAGCTCTGCCAGCAGAGAGCAAGGGCTCGGCCTGGCCTGCAGAGCTCCACCAGCACTGGCACTGGCCCACTGGCACCATGAGAGCAGCACCACTGGCCTGCGGAGCTCCGCTGGCAGAGTGAGGGCTCAGCCCACAGAGCTCTGCCAACAGAGAGCAAGGGCACGGCCTGGCCTGCGGAGCTCCGCCACCACTGGCACTGGCCCACTGGCACCATCCCCGTCCCCTGGCACCACCACAGCAGCACCAGCCCACTGGCACCGTCCCGCCATCCCAGTCCCACTGACACCACCCCAGCAGCACCGTCCCGCTGTCCCTGTGCCACCAGCACTGTGCCACCTCGTGCCAGCAGTTAAGGCCTGTTTAATGCAGAAGCAGCTTTAAGCTGGTGCTGAACATGCTGGATTAATGCCCAGCCCATGGAAAACTCCACCACTGCTGATGTAGGTGCCTCTGAACACCTTATCTGAGCATCTTGCCTGACGCAGACAGCCGTGATTCATCCCACCTGGAGCCACCACCCGGCTCCGGGAGAGCAAAGAACTGGGCACTTCCAGGGCCATTCCACCCCCACAGACACCTCATGGCCCCAGTCCTGCTGCCTGGGTGGGACCTGCACAGCCCAAAGCAGGAGCCCCAGTGTTGGCACCTGAAGCTCCACTCCCAGAGCTCGGCTCTGCTCGCTTCATTGTGCAGGGGCAGCACCAGGAGCAGAGCCCTGGCAGCATGGAATCATACAGGGATTGGGTTGGGAGGGACCTTAAAGATCATCTCTTCCCAGCCCTGCCATGGCAGGGACACCTTCCCCTGTGCCAGGCTGCTCCAGCCCCAGTGTCCAGCCTGGCCTTGGGCACTGCCAGGGATCCAGGGGCAGTTCTCTGGCTGGTTGAATATACTGGGGTTGAGGATGTTGGGCAGGAATTGTTCCCTGGCAGGGTGGGCAGGCCCTGGCACAGGGTGCCCAGAGCAGCTCCCTGGCAGATCCCTGGCAGTGCCCAAGGCCAGGCTGGACACTGGGGCTGGAGCAGCCTGGCACAGGGGAAGGTGTCCCTGCCCTGGCAGGGGTGGGATGGGATGAGTTTAGGGTCACTCCCAGCCCAGACTTCCTGGGATTCATGCCTGATTCCTCCATGCCTGAACTGGTGACTCTGGCCCCAGAGTGGCCTCAGCTGCTCCCAGCCTGTCCCATGACCACTGTGACTGATCAGAGACCCTCAAGAGAAATATTCTCCTCTGGTTGCCAATTCCCCTTGCTTTGGGGAACCACATGGGAATGTCCTTTGGAGTCCCAGCACCAGTTCCTGAACTGCCTTCAAAGCTCCCCAGGATCTCTCCAGCCCCGTGGTCACACCTGGCTGGAAGAGGAGCCCAGCACCCCCTGAGCAGCTGCCTGCACCCCACATCTGCCCCCAGGGTCACCCCCAGAGCCAGGGGAGGCCCCTTCACCTGCCTGGAGCCTTGGGAATGCTCCCCTCCCTCATGGAAAGCGGGATGCCAGGGCTGCAGCCCCGTCCCCAGCCACCCAGGCTGGATTTATTCCATCCCCTTGCTGCCATTCCACACAAGATGATCCTCCTTTGGCAGGAGATAAGGTGTTCAGGATTGCTCAGGATTTCTTATGTGCATAAGAAATTAATGTACAAATGGGTTAAAAAGATGCAGAGACAGGAAAGCTCAGAAATGGAGGAGGAGGAGAGCTCCTTTGGGAATGGAAGAACCAGCAATCCCTGCTCTGGAAAATCCCAGCCGGACACAGAGAGCTCCTCTGGCAGAACGCCTTGGGACTGAAAGATCCACAAGGACATATTTCCAGTGCAAGAAGGAATAAGAAGGAATAATTCTGGCAATGTGGCTGTTTCCACAACCCCAAGGTGAATCCCAGTCTTTCCCACTGCTCCTTGCTCCCTGCAGTGCCCATCCATGGACTTGGAATTTTACACCATTGCGAGATTTTTTTAATTCAGCTCCAGAGCTGCAATTCCAATTTGGGAATCTCATTGTGGGGGTTCACAGGGATCTGACTGCTGAGTAACTCACTGGGGTGATGGGTTTCTGCCACAGGTTTCTTCTTCCCTTGGGTCAAGCTTTTTTCCCTAAGGATTCTCCATTTTTTCCTGGTGTTCCACCCTTCATTTCCCAACTCAGTGCTTCCCACCTTCGTGCTCTCCCTCTCCAAGACTTACTTCAGAGCAATGAGCTCTGGAGCAGAGGCTGGGACCTCGCTTCCCAGACCCTCCAGGCACATCCAGACACGTTTTACCACCATTGCCCAAACTCCCTGCCCCAGGAAAAGCCCCCCCTGCCCGAGGCTGGCACATCCAGCTGCTCTGTCCCACAGCAGAGGGGGCTCGGCCATGCTCCAAGGGGGAGGCTTCCAAAGGAAGCCAAGGCCTGCAGGCTGTGTGCCATCCCCAGGGACAGGTTTCCCTCAGGGTGGCACTGCTCAGGTTATTTAGGGATTCTGTGGGAACACGGCACCAGCAGCACCTGTGGGTGAGGGATGGGGCAGCAGGGAAGGAGGTGGGATGGGACAGGGAATGCTGTCACCTCTCCTGGCCTCACTGGGTCCTTCATCTCCACCTCAGGGGTGAAATGGAGTGAGTCCAGCCCCCCAGATTCCCTAACTGCCCCCAGGAGCACGTGGGAGCTGCAGCTGAGATTCTTCTTCATCCCACCAGACTCTTCCCGGGGTTAGTGCAGGTGGCCATGGCTCAGTGAGGACAGATACATTCATTAGTTCCCGTGCCAGAAAGATGGAAAATTGGTGGATGTATTTTAGTCCAGAAAAAGGCCAGAGGGCAGAATAAAAAAATGAAAATAACAAAATTGAAGAGAACCAAACCAGGGTATTTCCAGAGGGACTGATCCTCCGAGGACAGCGAGGAGCGGTCGCTGAACCTGCGCCCGAAAAGCCAGGCTGCATCTGGGGGGGCAGCCAGGTGGGAACAGGAGAGAGAGAGATGGGATTTACTGGGAGAAGCACCACGGGTCCTCAGCATCACCCTTGGGCAGGAGAAACTCGGCACTGCTCTCCTGAGGCGGGGTTTGCACACAAAGCAAGAAAATCCTACAGGGAAAGGCTGCCTTGCTTTGGGAATTGGAGTGCCCAGTGCTCGCTAGGGGTGGATCACCTGCAGGGAGGAGGTGGGCAGCAGGGTGGGCAGCAGGGTGGGCAGCAGGGTGGGCAGGCTCTCTGCCCAGCCCTGGGATGATGGAACTGGAAGTGCTCCCTGGAAATGTCTCACTCGAGGTGCCAAGAAGCTGAGGCTGAAGTCGGGGCTGGAGGCGCACACCTGGGCCAGCTCAGGTCCTCAGGTGTCACCTGGGACTGTCCAAGCATCCCTGCCACCAGTGCCCAGCTGGGGCTGGGCCAGGCCTTCGTCAGAGATGTCCAGCCTGATTCTGAGGGCGACTGGTAATGACAAGGAGCAGGATGTCTCCATTCCCTGGAGCTTTGATGTCCCCAAGCACAGCTGATCCCACAAAGCGTGGCTCCAGCCCCCATGTCTGCAGAGCCCTGGGAACACACAGGTACCCCCGTTCCTCCTGCACTGCCCAAAGCCTCCAAGCTCTGCCTCCCCCTGGCCCCTGCCCTGAGCCCCCCTCAGGGGGACCGAGGGGAGGTGGGCCTGGCACACAGGGCACCTCCTGCAGCACACAGTGCCAGCCCTGGGACCCTTCTGCTCCCCCAGACTGCCCTGGCTTGGATTGAACTGTCCAGAGCAGCTGGGGCTGCCCCTGGATCCCTGGCAGTGCCCAAGGCCAGGCTGGACACTGGGGCTGGAGCAGCCTGGCACAGGGGAAGGTGTCCCTGCCATGGCAGGGTGGCACAGGGTGGGCTTTGAGGTCCTTCCAAGCCAATCCACTCTGTGATTCCATGATTCCATGACAGTGCCTGGATCAGGGTGCTGTGCCCTGCCAGCTGCTGCTGCTGCTGCGCCCCCAGGCCCTGTCCCTGCCCTTCAGCTCTCTCAGTCTCTGGTGCAACACCCAGGGGGAAACTGTTTGGAAAATGAAAATGCCCTTTTGGGAGAAGCAAGGCAGGACCTGGGCCAGCTGCAGGCAGGAACAGCAGCCAGGGCTGGCTCCCAGCTGCTGCAGAGAAGGTGACAGTGTCACCCAGCCCTGTGACACTAATTCCAGCAGCTGGGGGGGGTCACAGGCACAGGGTGATCCATGCTCAGCCCTCCCTCTGTGGGCTCTGGGCTTGGCAGAGCAGGGACAGCTGTCCTGGAGTGATGCTCCTGTCACCTGAGGGACAGGAGGGTCCCCCTGGCTGAGGCCAAGCCCTGCACAGAGCTGGGAACTGGGGCAGCCTCTGCTCCAGGGAGTGTTTAACAGGTCCCTGAGGCTGGAGAGTGCTGCTCCCACCCGGAATGCTGCAGGAAGCAATCCCCAAAAAGGTGCTCAGGCCAAGGGGACATTGGGATAATCCCTTTTCCTGTCCCACCTCCATGTCCACCCGTGCCTTTGGCTGGGGTTTTTGGTAAATGCTTAAATCACTGAGCTGAGCACAACAGCACAGACAGAATGAAATGATGATTAACAATTCCTAAAGTACCAGCCATGCTGGAATTGCCAGGCTCCAAACAAGCCCAGCAGAGGGGCCTGGCCTGTTCGGGATGCTCCTGACCCTGATGGACCAGCTCTGCTCTTTGGCCATGGAAACCTCAACTTGGATCAGTTATTCCCTGCTGATACAGGTGAACTGCAGATCCAGCTCTGCTCTGCGCCACAGCCCCCAGCCCCAGCAGACACAGCCCCCCGTTCCCAGGGAGTTCCCCCGTTCCCAGGGACCCCCCATTCCCAGGGAGTTCCAGGGACCCTCCATTCCCAGACCCCCCCATTCCCAGCCCCCCCCGTTCCCAGCGCAGGCGTACATTGGATGGACATGGGCGACACCAGCTCCTCGTCCAGGTCATCCACGTCGTCGGTGATGACGAAGTGCGAGGGGTTGGGCCGGGGCGTGCCCACCCAGCCCGGGTCCACGTTGAGGGCCGAGGCCAGCGAGTGGATGCCGGGGTTGCTGACGATCTGGAAGCCGCAGAGCAGCTCGATCTGCTGCCAGCGGTGCAGCCGCTCCCGCAGCGCCGCCGTCACCTCGCTCAGCGCCTGCCTGGGGGGGACACACGCGGGGCCATGCGGGGGCGGCGGGGGCACGGCCCGCGCCGCTGGAGCGGGCCAAAACCGGAGCGGGCCGAAACCGGAGCGGGCCAAAACCGGAGCGGGCCGAAACCGGAGCGGGCCGAAACTGGAGCGGGCCGAAACCGGAGCGGGCCAAAACCGGAGCGGGCCGAAACCGGAGCGGGCCGAAACCGGAGCGGGCCGAAACCGGAACGGCCCAAAACCGGAGCGGGCCGAAACCGGAGCGGGCCGAAACCGGAACGGCCCAAAACCGGAGCGGGCCGAAACCGGAGCGGGCCGAAACCGGAGCGGGCCGAAACCGGAGCGGGCCGAAACCGGAGCGGGCCGAAACCGGAGCGGGCCGAAACCGGAGCGGGCCGAAACCGGAGCGGGCCGAAACCGGAGCGGGCCGAAACCGGAGCGGGCCGAAACCGGAGCGGGCCGAAACCGGAGCGGGCCGAAACCGGAGCGGGCCGAAACCGGAGCGGGCCGAAACCGGAGCGGGCCGAAACCGGAGCGGGCCGAAACCGGAGCGGGCCGAAACCGGAGCGGGCCGAAACCGGAGCGGGCCGAAACCGGAGCGGGCCGAAACCGGAGCGGGCCGAAACCGGAGCGGGCCGAAACCGGAGCGGGCCGAAACCGGAGCGGGCCGAAACCGGAGCGGGCCGAAACCGGAGCGGGCCGAAACCGGAGCGGGCCGAAACCGGAGCGGGCCGAAACCGGAGCGGGCCGAAACCGGAGCGGGCCGAAACCGGAGCGGGCCGAAACCGGAGCGGGCCGAAACCGGAGCGGGCCGAAACCGGAGCGGGCCGAAACCGGAGCGGGCCGAAACCGGAGCGGGCCGAAACCGGAGCGGGCCGAAACCGGAGCGGGCCGAAACCGGAGCGGGCCGAAACCAATATATTATATAAATATAAAATAAATAATCATAAAATATATAAGCAAATAGAGTAACATAAATATAACAAATAAATACTAAAAAGCAAAATAATATATATTAATAGAAATATTAGATATTTTAATAAATGGAAATATTAACTATATGGTGTGTTATGTATATATTAAAATATACACTATATTATATATAAATATTAAATACGTGATATATTATAAATAAATGTTAAAATGTATAATTATATATAAATATATAATTATATATAAATATAAAATTTTAAAATAGAAGCATGTAATATATATAATTTAATTATATGAATCTGTCTAATCACTCAGAATCTATTTACAAAAACATCTCAATGAAAGTGTATCAAAACTCCAAGCTGGTAATGAAACTGTTCAATAGCTGATTTAATAATTAAAATTTAACAAATGAATTTATACATTTTAGTCATCATAACAGTTGTACTACTGTACAACTATTATAGCTGTACTACTAATCTTAGTACCTTGTTTACTCCTATACCTTCAACAAATAATTAACACAACTATTAAAAAGGTCTGCAGAGTTTAAAGAGGAGGGGAGATGTTTGGGTCAGCTGTGCATCCTGAAATTTGAGACACTTTTGATTCCAATTCCAGGAATACAGCAATTAAAAAATGCAGCAGCAGCTGAAGTATGCAGGGATAACAAGAAGGGGGAATGGCTGCCAGTGCCAGAGGGCAGGGCTGAGTGGGAGATTGGGATCTGGGAATTGTTCCCTGGCAGGGCTGGGGTGGAATTCCCAGAGCAGCTGGGGCTGCCCCTGGATCCCTGGCAGTGCCCAAGGCCAGGCTGGACACTGGGGCTGGAGCAGCCTGGCACAGGGGAAGGTGTCCCTGCCATGGCAGGGTGGCACTGGCTGGGATTTGGGGTCCCTCCAGCCCAAACCATTCCATGGCAATCCCTTAAACATCCTGCAGCCTCCTGGAACCTCATTTTGGCAGGACTCCTAATTGCTCCACGTCACTGTGATCCCGTTTCTCACAGGTAAAATCAGGTTATTGATGGGGAGGAGCAAATCCACCCCCAGGTCACTGAGGAGAACAGAAGTTCAGGAAAAGGAGCCCCAGAGCCCCTGCAGGGGTGAGGACACTCCTGGCCGGGACAGGGGAGGGAGGAAGAGGGAGGTGTGGGGCAGACACTCACTTTGCAGTTAAGATTTTGTGATCCACATCATCCAGAGAGGAGCTGTGAGCAACGTGGAACGTCCCAAAAAGGGTGTTCCGCTTCTTTTTGATCTTTTCAGCCTGCAATATCAACGGAGAACGGTCAGAGGAAGAAGAGAACCTCAAGTTTCCTCCAGGCCATGGACATCCTGGATGGGCTGAGACAGGAACACTCCCTGCAGCTGCCTGCACGTGTGGGAACAGTGGGAATGGTGCTGTCACTGAGGAATGTCCTCCCTGACCCTGGGGTGAGGAATTCCCCAGCAGCAAGCAGCAAGTTGGGGGTTTCATGCTCCCTTCTCCCAGTTTCCCAAAAATCAGAGGGAAGGCTGAACTTTCAGGGCAGAGCTGGAGTCCCCATCCCTGCAGGGATCCCACAGCCCTGTGGATGTGGCACCTGGGGACACGGGGCAGTGGTGGCCTTGGAGAATAGGTGGCCTTGAAGGTCTCTGAGGGTTTCTCCAACCCAAACCATTCCATGATTACCAGGTACCTTGCTCAGTGAAGGGCTCTCACACACTGGCTCACTCCTCCCGTGAATAACCACCAAACCCTTTTGGTTTGAGGCTGAGTTTGTCCCATTGTATCAAAAATTAAAGTCTCCTCCCACAGCTCTTCCATCCCCAGCTCCAGTGCATGAACCTGGGACTTAGGAGAGCCAAGGATGTGGGTGCAAGAACTGACACAGCCAAAAGAGAACTGTTGGAATGTTAAAATGTTCCCAGCCAAAGCAGATTAAGGCACAGTTTTTCCTCCTGCCAGCTCTGCTCCATATGGCCATGGGGACAGGGACGAGTCACAACAGCTCCCAGGGCTGATCCCTCAGGGCTGGCACACGAAATCCCACATCAGGAATGCAGTGATGACTCAGGACCTCATCCCAGATCAGGAATGCAGTGATGACTCAGGACCTCGGGGTTCCACTGCCTGTGCAGGCTCATCACCTGCAGCAGGGAGGGTGCTGAGAGGTGCAAAGCTCACCCAGCACCCAGGGTGGGACCTGCCTCAGGAGCACCATCCTCATCCTCATCCTCACGCTCAGCCCCTGCTCACACCTCTGTAGTGCTGCACTTCTACAAGATGCAAATTTAAGGCATGAAGAGAGAAACTACCCTTGATCTGAGAGAGGGCAGGGCTGGATGGGATCTGGGCAATGAGGAATTGTTCCCTGGCAGGGTGGGCAGGGGCTGGCACAGGGTGCCCAGAGCAGCTGGGGCTGCCCCTGGATCCCTGGCAGTGCCCAAGGCCAGGCTGGACACTGAAGCTTGGAGCAGCCTGGGATAAAATCAAAGGCGTCCCTGCCCACAGAATGAGGTGAACTTTGAGGCCCTTCCCAACCCATCTGGGATTCCAGGATGCCACAAAGCCAAGGAGATGCAGAGAAACCATCTCTGCAGGCTTCACCCCCCAGACCCCCCCACCGGGGACCCAGCTCGAGGCCGCTGCAGCTCTCACCCCCTCCTTGGCCACCAGCAGCTGCTTCTCTGCGTTCTGCTTCTTGATGTTGTAGTACTGCACCTCCACCTCGTGGGTCAGCTGCAGCCACTTCTGCAGGGCCTCGGGGGCAGCCCAGCTGCAGTGGGACTCCAGCTCCTTCTCTGCGTTCTTCAGCGCCATCCGCACCTGGGGAGAGGCCACACCGTGGAGCAGCCGTGGGGACACGGCCCTGCCACAGCTCGTCCCCTCTGCTGCCAGGCCCCTTCCCAGGGGCTCTGAGCTCTCTCCCTGGAGCTTCACCAGTCCTGGAGGCTGGAAACTGCTCCGGAGGAGAGGTGGCACCCTGAGGAGCCACCACACCGTGGAGCGGCCGTGGGGACACGGCCCTGCCACAGCTCGTCCCCTCTGCTGCCAGGCCCCTTCCCAGGGGCTCTGAGCTCTCTCCCTGGAGCTTCACCAGTCCTGGAGGCTGGAAACTGCTCCGGAGGAGAGGTGGCACCCTGAGGAGCCACCACACCGTGGAGCGGCCGTGGGGACACGGCCCTGCCACAGCTCGTCCCCTCTGCTGCCAGGCCCCTTCCCAGGCAGCTTCCCCAGGGGCTCTGAGCTCTCCCTGGAGCTTCACCAGTCCTGGAGGCTGGAAAGTGCTCTGGAGGAGAGGTGGCACCCTGAGGAGCCGCCCGCACGGGCAGGCTGCTGCTCCGAGCACAGATCCTCCCACGGGCCATTCCTGCCACCCCCCAGCCCAGCTCCTTCCCCAGAAATCCCAGCCAGCACCGTGCTGAGCTCCCTCCCGACCCCTCCATGGCCCCAGGAGCCACAGGAAAACCCTCTGGAGCCGATGGCACGGTGCACGAGGCGGTGCAAAGGGATTTGGGCTCACAGGGAGGATGCTCTGGGGTTTTCTGCAGCCTCTGGAAACCTCTGCAGAGCTTGCTGCCTGTCTGTAAATCCCCCAGAGCCCCTGACAGGCAATCCCTGCCTCACCACAGCTCCCAGCCAAGCCCAGGGAGCTCGTCAGGAGACAACTTGCACACTGGAGAAAGTGAGAAAAATATTTAGACGCAAAACATGTGCTGCTGGTCAGGAAAAGAAACAGCCTGGCTGGATCAGCCACTCCTGGGGTGTCTCCTTCCAGGCTCCTGCACACCCTGACACCCCACGGAGATAAAGGTTAGAAGGGACTGGCTGAGAAGCCAGTGGAGGACACTGCAGCCTCACAGAAAAGCCTTCAGTGGTGCAGACCACCAGGAATGAAATCGTCTGCTGCAGTGCCCACCCTGTGCAGAGGCTCTCACAGCCTGCTTCCCAGGCAGCTTCCCCAGGGGCTCTGAGCTCTCCCTGGAGCTTCACCAGTCCTGGAGGCTGGAAAGTGCTCTGGAGGAGAGGTGGCACCCTGAGGAGCCACCACACCGTGGAGCGGCCGTGGGGACACGGCCCTGCCACAGCTCGTCCCCTCTGCTGCCAGGCCCCTTCCCAGGCAGCTTCCCCAGGGGCTCTGAGCTCTCCCTGGAGCTTCACCAGTCCTGGAGGCTGGAAACTGCTCTGGAGGAGAGGTGGCATCCTGAGGAGCCGCCCGCACCGGCAGGCTGCTGCTCCGAGCACAGATCCTCCCACGGGCCATTCCTGCCACCCCCCAGCCCAGCTCCTTCCCCAGAAATCCCAGCCAGCACCGTGCTGAGCTCCCTCCCGACCCCTCCATGGCCCCAGGAGCCACAGGAAAACCCTCTGGAGCCGATGGCACGGTGCACGAGGCGGTGCAAAGGGAATTGGGCTCGCAGAGAAGATGCTCTGGGGTTTTCTGCAGCCTCTGGAAACCTCTGCAGCGCTTGCTGCCTGTCTGTAAATCCCCCAGAGCCCCTGACAGGCAATCCCTGCCTCACCACAGCTCCCAGCCAAGCCCAGGGAGCTCGTCAGGAGACAACTTGCACACTGGAGAAAGTGAGAAAAATATTTAGACGCAAAACATGTGCTGCTGGTCAGGAAAAGAAACAGCCTGGCTGGATCAGCCACTCCTGGGGTGTCTCCTTCCAGGCTCCTGCACACCCTGACACCCCACGGAGATAAAGGTTAGAAGGGACTGGCTGAGAAGCCAGTGGAGGACACTGCAGCCTCACAGAAAAGCCTTTAGCAAGCCCTGCAGGAAGGGAAGGAGCAGCAGCAGGATGGCACCCCAACCCCAGGACACGCTCAGGGATGGGGCACTGTGCCACCAGAGCACCCTGGGGCTCGGGGGGGCTGTGGCCTCAGGCTGCACAGCAGCTTTGCCTCCCACCCAGAGCAGCTGCCCTGCTCCTGCAGCTCCAGCCCACGGGCACGGCCCCAGCCTGGCGCTGGTGGGCGGATGCAGAGCAGTGTTTTTGTGCAGGATTGCTCACACTCAGAGCTTTTCCCTGGGTGGGTTCTTCTGAAACTCAGGCACGTCTCACCCAGCCCAGCCCGGGGGGTTTCAGGGAGCCAAGAGCCCCGGGGTACAGGCAGATCTCTGAAATTCCCTGTTTTACCCTCCATCCATCCATCCATCCATCCATCCATCCATCCATCCATCCATCATCCATCCATCCATCCATCCATCCAGGAGCAGCCCCCGAGGCACCTCACACAAGAGGTCAGACACTTGTACCACCTGTGTGTGACTGAGGGCTGCTCAGCATAAAACAGCATAAATCAGCCCCAGAGTGCCAAATTCAGTCCCAGAGCCTGGGCTTTTCCTGGCTTTTCCCAGCAGACATCAGCAGCACCAGACAGGGGCTGCTCCCACATCAGCAGAACTCTGTCACCCACAGGCATCTGGGATTTGGGGATATGGAAAAAACATGGGTAGGAAATCTGTCACTGGTGGTTTGGGGTAGAGGAGTGCTCATAACAGAGTGCTCATAACACCCACAGGAACAACGTTTTTAGGGAATGGTGGGAAAGGGAAGTGCTGGGGAACAGGCAAGGACCAGTGGCTAAAATGAGTGTCCACAACCCAAACTCTTGTGGTTCTGCAGGGAATCTGTGCAAACAAGAGTTATTTTGTGTGTCTCCATTCTCCTGGGAAGACCTTTAAGACCCCATTTGGATCACTAAGAGCAACAATTTATAAGGAAATTTATAAAAGTTATACTCTGCCCTGGTGAGACCCCACCTGCAGAGCCTCCAGCCCTGGGGCCCAACATCAGGAGGATGTGGAGCTCTAGGAGCCACTCCAGAAGAGCCACAGAGCTGATGCAGGGCTGGAGCCAGGCTGGGAGAGCTGGGGGGGCTCACCTGGAGAGGAGAAGCTCCAGGGAGAGCTCAGAGCCCCTGGCAGGGCCTGAAGGGGCTCCAGGAGAGCTGCAGAGGGACTGGGGACAAGGGCTGCAGGGACAGGAGCCAGGGAATGGCTGCCAGTGCCAGAGGGCAGGGCTGGGTGGGATCTGGGCAATGAGGAATTGTTCCCTGGCAGGGTGGGCAGGGGCTGGGATGGAATTCCCAGAGCAGCTGGGGCTGCCCCTGGATCCCTGGCAGTGCCCAAGGCCAGGCTGGACACTGGGGCTGGGGCAGCCTGGCACAGGGGAAGGTGTCCCTGCCCTGGCAGGGGGGGATGGGATGAGGTTTAGGGTCTCTCCAGCCCAAACCAGTCTGGGATTCTATTCCACAATTCCCTCAGGGTTCTCTGGGTCCGTGGCCCCACTGGGCTCTGTGGAGGGTGAGCCAGGGAGGAGGGAGGGATGGATGAAGATCCTGGGAACAGGACACCTCATCCTGTACACCCAGCTCCAGCAGGACCCACACCCTGCAGCGTGGCTGTGGTGATCAGAACCAACTGGTGCAGAGGAGGTCCAGGTTACTGCTCCCTGGGAGCGGGGGCTCTGCTGCACTGGGAGGTGACAGGGGTGACAGGTTAATGTCACGAGTGTCCTGGGGCGAGGGGCAGTGCTGGGTTACAGTCACACAGTGCTGTGGGACACTGCAGTACTCACCTCCCGACGCCTGGGCAGCCACACGGGTCACTCAGCTCCCGGGCTCCTTGGATGGGAACGCAGGGCAAGGGCAGGGTGAGAGCAGGGCAGCTCCAGAGCCGGGGCCAGGGGCACCCAGCCCTACCTGGTGCCCAAAGCACACTGCCCCAGGGCCAGCAGGGACACCCCTGGCCCCGTGGAGAGGCTGGGTGGCCACAGGAGGATGGATAAGAGCACTCCTGGAAGCAGGCACCGAGGGGCTCGGGGCTGCTGCAGTCCCAGGCAGGAAGGGAATTTGCTGTTTGTCCCCCTGCACTGCCCCGGGGCTCCCAGGACACTTGGTCCTGCCTTGCCAGGGGAAGCCCCGGGTTCCTGCCTTGCCAAAAAGACTGGGCACAGCTGGGAGGATACACACGTGGCCTGGGAACATCCAAGGAACCTGCCTGGCTCGTGCAGGCCTGGCTCCAGTCTCACTTTAAACTGATCTGTAACTTGCAGCCAGGTGAGAACCGTCCCTCAGGTGAGATAGGAAGCAGCTACTGGGATTGTGGGCTTGGACTTCTTGTAGGTTTGGGAAGGTTAAGGCTGGATACTGGGAAAATTTCCTTATGGACAGGGTTGTCCGGCCGTGGCACAGGCTGCTCAGGGCAATGCTGGAGTCACATCCAGGGAGGGATTTCACAGGATGTGGCAATTGGGGACATGGTCAGTGGTGGCCTTGGCTGTGCTGGGGAATGGCTGGGCTGGATGGTCCCAGAGGGCTGCTCCAACCCTTACACACCCCTCTGATCCACGAGAAAACATGGAAAGTGTAACTGAACTCATTCTAAATCTGTCCTAAAACCACAAACACAAATCAAGAGACTGCATGGACAGGGGAGGGAGTCAGAAATCCCAGAGGGTGCAGCTCCAGGGCAAGTCCAAGCTCTCTGCTCCTGCTGGGATGTCACAAGGTGCCAGCACCTGCCCTGTCCAGCACCACAGCAGTGACTGGGATGTGTAATGGGCACCATGGAAAAGAGACTCAGGGCTTTTCCTCCACAAAGGGCAGTGGGAAAGCAAAGGCAGAAGAGCAGCAGCATCACTGGATTCAGGGGGGTGGAGAGCAGTGAGGACTGGTGTCTCTCAGGAGTCAGGACTGGCACTGGGAATGTCTTTGGTGGTGACAGGGACACGGGGATCCAGGGCAGCCCCATCCTGGCAGTGACACAGAGCTGGTGCTGCGGGCACACACTGCAGGGAAGGGATGGGGCACCCACAGGCACCTGGGCAGGCTGCAGAGCTGGGCCTGTGCCAGCCTCTGCAGCCCAGCAGGACCAAGGGCAGGGCCTGCACCTGGCTCAGGGCAATCCCAGCACAAACACAGCCTGGGGAGAATGGACTGGGAGCAGCCCTGGGGACAGGGAGCTGGGACTGGGGGAGAAGCTCCACAGGCCCTGGCCACGAGTCCTGAAATCCCTGTGCCCTGGGCTGGTGCCACAGTGTGGGCAGCAGGAAAGGGACTGGGATTGTGCCCCTGAGCCCCCACAGGTGAGAGCCCACCTGCAGAGCTGTCCCAGCCCTGGGAGGAGCTGGAGCTGCTGCAGAGAGCCCAGAGGAGGCTCCAGGATGAGCAGAGGGATGGAGCAGCTCTGCTGGCAGGAAAGGCTGGCACAGCTGGGATTGTTCAGCTGCACAGGAGAAGCTTTGGGCTGAGCTCAGGGTGGCCTTGCAGGGCCTGAAGGAGCCCCAGGAAACCTGGAGAGAGACAATTGCCAGGGGATGCAGGGACAGCACCCACGGCTGCTCTGCCAGTGCCAGAGGGCAGGGCTGGATGGGATCTGGGCAATGAGGAATTGTTCCCTGGCAGGGTGGGCAGGCCCTGGGATGGAATTCCCAGAGCAGCTGGGGCTGCCCCTGGATCCCTGGCAGTGCCCAAGGCCAGGCTGGACACTGGGGCTGGAGCAGCCTGGCACAGGGGAAGGTGTCCCTGCCATGGCAGGGTGGCACAGGGTGGCACTGGGTGGGCTCTGAGGGCCCCCCCAGCGCAGCCACTCTGTGTTTCTGTGATTCCCCCCAGGGGGATGCAGCAGCAGGGCCCTCAGTGCCTCCCCCAGGCGAGGCCTCACCTGCTCCAGCTCCTGCTCGGCGTATTTCTGCCGGCTGAGCTCGTTCTCGGTGCCCTCGCGCAGCTCCCGCAGCCGGTGTGCCTCCTGCTTGGCAATGCTGATCTCGTCCTGCAGCTTCTTCTCCAGGTGCACCTTCTCCACCTCCACGGAGCGGTGCTCCTCCTGCGCCTTCTGCAGCCTGCAACACACACACACACACCAGGGCCAGTGCTGGGCCAGCTCTGCAGGCAGCCAGGACCAGGGCTGCCCTCCAGAAACGTCTGTGCTCTGCCCTCCAGAACCAGTCTGCTCTGCTCACCAGAACCAGCCCTGTGCTCTGCCCTCCAGAGCCAGTCTGCTCTGCCCTCCAGAGCCAGCCCTGTGCTCTGCTCACCAGAACCAGCCCTGTGCTCTGCTCACCAGAACCAGCCCTGTGCTCTGCTCACCAGAACCAGCCCTGCTCTGCTGTGCCCATGGGATGCAGGGAGAGAGTTCACCATGGCTGGGAAGAAAGGAAATTGCCAACTGCTCGGTCTCAGCTTGATTCATTTATCAAATACTCAGGATTTTCATCATTTCTCACAGCACACCCAGATTTCCTCTCACGGGTCTCGAATTAAGCTCCATTTTTGGTATTTTCACCCAAGTGAAGACTTTGATAAAACAAAGCCGGGGAAGATCTGCCAGAGCACAACAGACCACCCAGATGGGACAGATCCACGTTCCTCCCACAAAATCCTGCAAATTCAGACATGTCTGAATCCTGCCTGGACGTTCTTATTCCTCCTCATGACAGACTGAATCAGCAGGAGTGTACAGCAGCAACAAAACCCTGGCTCTCCATGGCTCAGTGGGATCTTCCACGAGGAGCCGACCTGTGCTGGGGCTCCCAGCAGGGCTGTGAGGCTGGCAGGGCACCAGCTGGGCCAGCGACCCTCACACAGCACCCGAGTGCCACCTGTGCCAGGGGAGACTGCACCCACCTGCAGCTGCCATGGGGGGAAGAGAGCAAGAGCTGTCCCAAGGGACTGAACAGACACCAAGAGCTGTCCCAAGGGACTGAACAGACACCAAGAGCTGTCCCAAGGGGAAGACACCATTGGCCAAGACCACTACCAAGGGGAATTCAAGAGAGACATGCAGCTGTCCCAAAGTGAAGATGACAGTGACAAAGAGCTGCTGCAGAACTGAAAACACGTGTCTGACACCAGCTGGGACAGGCCCTGCTGGACAGGCTGGCACAGCCCTGCAGCCCCCAGGACACCCCCCACGCCCTGCTGGCACAGCCCTGGGTCCTGTCGTGCCCCACATCCAATGCCCACTCACACAAGTGACACTCTGGTGACGTGTCCCCCTCGTGCCTGGCCACAGGGATGACCATGGGATTTGGGGGCACAGCTGAGGGGGCGTTATGGCTGTTTTTAGCTGAGTGGGGCAGGGGCAGCACGCAAGGACGGGGCTGTGCACAGGACCTGGCTGGGCAGAGGTGGCACCAGGAGAGCCTCCTGCACTCCCACATGGCCAGGGCCTGAGGCACCAATTCCTGCAGGCTGGAACAGACCACCCCCAGCAGCAGGAACCAGCAGTGAGACCACCCCTGCCATGGCAGGGACACCTTCCCCTGTGCCAGGCTGCTCCAGCCCCAGTGTCCAGCCTGGCCTTGGGCACTGCCAGGGATCCAGGGGCAGCCCCAGCTGCTCCGGGCAAGCAGGGGGCTCACATTCCAGGAGATTCCATACAGTCCACACATCTCCAAAACAGACCTGCCCACTCCTTTCAGGCTTCAGCAGGATGTGCCAAGACTTGATGAGTCACTTAATGGCCCGGGAAGTGTCACTGCTGCGGGGCATTCTCCAAGGTGCTCTGCCGATGAATAAAGGCTGGGGTTCCTTACAAACATTCCCAGCTCCGCAGGAGCATGTCTGAGCTGCTCAGCGAATTCCAGCAGCACTGGCACTGCAGAGGCATCCCGTGCCTTGCAGAGCTCTGCTCAGCACTGAGCCTCACCCAGCCAGCACAGCAGGGCCCTTCAAGCTCTGGAGAAGTCTCTGAGCTGCAGAACTGCAGCACAACTTCTCCACAAGTCCTGGAGCACTGGGGAGTTTTCGCTGTTCCTGTGGCAGCTGAAGATGCCAGCTGGACCCCGCTGGGCAAGGAGGAGGAGGTGAAGGAACATTTCCCCTCAAGAGGCCTCCCAAGCCCCCAGCTCACCTCGCAGCCCCTGAGCTCCTGCTGGGTGCCCTCTGCGAGGACGAGCCCCGCCGAGCTGCTCCGGCTTAAGGCTGTGTCCCGGTGGTTTTGTGTTTCTTCCTGAGGGGCTTTACGAGCATTAGCTGAACTTCCCAGGAGGAACATCCACTTGTTTACGTGGCTCTGCCCTCAGCAGCAGAGCCCAAGGTCGTTCCCCACAGGCACATTCCCAGTTTGGAGCTCGGAGGTGAGGCCCAGCCGAGCCCTCCTGCCCCGGACAGCAGAGAGGGGATTCCTGTCTCCTTCCAGATGCAGGAAAAACAAATCCAACTTTCTTTGGGAGGGCTTCCAAGCTGTGACATAAAACTCCACGAGGCTGTGTGGGACCAGCTGTGGCTGGAGCCACAGAGGGGAGTGGATCTGTGCCAGGGGAAGGTGCCCAGCACGGCTCCATCACCTGGGAGCTCGCTCTCCGCAGGGACACCAAGTGGTGCCACCTCACTGGGGAACAGGAGCCCTCCCAGCAACTCTCACGGGCAGGGTGAACCCCTGCAGGCTCTGAGGGGCTCCCGGGCAAGAAGTGGGGCTGCAGACCTGGGAATGCACTGCACACATTCCCAAAACCTGGCTGGCTGCAGGTCTGACATCCTCGGCACCCTGGTGCCTGCACAGGGCACTCACCACACCCCGTGGCTGGCCTGGCATCAAACCCATGTCCACAGAAGCCACTGGAAATGCAGCCATCAGCTCACAGGGCAGCCTAGTTAAGGTTTATCCTCCCAAACTCCACTGAAACCTCACAGAAAATCGTTCAAGGCTCTGTTATTTGCTAAATCTGCCCTTAACATATTCCACTGCCAGAGCATCCTATGGGTTTGTCAGCACCGACCCAGCAGATGACCCATCCCTGTCCCAGAAGATCCTAAGTCCAGAGGCTCTCTTGGAGCATGTTCTCCCATCAGTAGCTCTACTGGAACCAGTGCAGTGATTCCTGGGAGCAGAGACCCCGTTCCTGAGGCTGCAGGTTTTGATCCATATGCCAAAAGCCCAGATATTCCTATTTAACACTCCAAAATGATGCATTTTTTTTCACTTTCTAAGCAACACCCTTCGACTCAGGTACTGCTTCCCCACACAGCTCCAAGAATTCAAGAGGGGATGTGAAAATCCCTGATTGCTCCCACTGTTCAAACATGCATTTTTCCCACCAAAAGCCAAGGTGAAACAAGCTTGGATGACAAATTCCACGCGAGCTGCCTTGCGTGGCAGGAGTGGGACTGGACAAGCTCCAGTCCCAAAAGCATTCCCTGGTTCTGTGACTGGGAAAGATCAGCCTGGTCCAGGAGTCCCTGCAGGAGGAGCCAGGCCCCCACCTGGGCTCCAGAGGCTGCTGGCAGCTTTGCCAGGTCCCTCAGGAAGGGGCTGACTGGTGTGAGGCACCAGGACAGCTAAAACCAATCATTTCCCGAGCCGTGAAGGAACAGAACCGCGCAGGAAGAGCCGAGCGCTCCAGCTGGATGGCCAGTGGGAACCTACCTCTCCTGCAGGTCATGGAGAGACTGCTCAGCCCTGTGGAGACCCTCCAGGTCCTTCATCATCTTCTTCATGTGCTCCTTGGAGTAGCGGTTCTGGATGTAGGCGAACCAGCAGCCGCCCACGCCGATGACGATGGACACCACCAGCATGAAGTCCTTGAGGTGGTTGTGGCGGGTCACTGCAAGAGAGCACACACACTGCTGGGGACAAGGGACACCACAGAATCTTGGGCTCCCTGTGCTCAGGATGAGCCCCAGAGTCCCTTTTTCCCAGCCCCGTGGTGGAAGAAGGGGCCGGAATTCCTCGGCTCTGCTGCACAAGGTTGTTGGTTGTCTCTTATCTAAAACATTCTTTTTTGGACCTGCAGAGTTCTGCCAAGGGCACACTGCCCGCCCCCAGGCTGGTGTCTGCATTTTACACTGTGAATTACATGCACTTTATTTATCATTATGTTCCAATATCTATCACCTTTGTTAGACTGTCTACTTCTACTCTAAACCAATCCAAATGTGCCAGCATCACCCAGAAGATGGAGGCTAGGAAGAAGAAGGAAGAAGGACAGGACAATGCCCAAATCCCTCCATCTTGCCTCCTAGACCCCTGTAGTAAAACCCCCAAAATTCCACTTTTCACCTTGTGATAAATTCATTAGCAAACTTCTGTGACTTGTAATTCTTCACACAAGGTTGGTAATTTACTCCATGGGTGAAGATCAAAATCCCAAGTGTCTCTGGCTTCCTGCCAGGACTCCCCAGCCCCCTGCTAGGGGCTCAGGTCATCCAGGGCACCCAGAGGGTGTCATGGGTTCCAACAGGAGAGCTCCAAAGGGCTCTGCCTGCACCAGAGTGGCACAGGAGAACTCAGGGCAGTCTTACAAGGAATTGTGGCACAGCATTCACCAAGGGAAAAGTTGAGCTGTGTCAGTATTTAAGGGGGAAACCAGAAGCTTGACAACATTTATTCAATTTGGAGACACAAGAACAACAAAAAAGATGAAATTCCAAAGCTTCCAGCTCCAATTTGCCTGGCAATAAGTGGTACAGGGGAAACTGCAGAGAGGAACCCCTCCAGAACGGCTGTGATCTCACAGGGCAGCACAGGTAACTAAGAACAAAATAAACACTTGGAAAAACACTGCTGAGATCACGGAGCTGGGGCAGCTCAAGTGTCCAACTGTCAAGTTGCCAAACTTTCCATCAGAATCACAACTCACTGTGGAAATTCCCTTTTTCAACAGTTAATTCAAAAAAGGTGTTGATGCATGTGAGAGGATGAAAGTAATTACTGGGGGCTCAAGTGCTAAACAAAGCCCAAAAAGATGAGTCAAGCAGATTTTTTTTTCCCTGTAACTCAACCAAGTGTGTGCTGGAAAAGCCACAAATAAAAGAGCAGCTCAGTCTAGTGAGCTGGGACTTAAAGATCAGCATCCACTGGTTTTGAATCAAACATCAGGCAATTCACACCAGATACAGGGAAAAAATACCTGTACTCTCCCCTCCATAGGAAAGAATTTCCTCTACCCTGAATTCCTGCTGCTCCACTGCTCCAAGGAGCTGTTATTCATCAAATTCCCTGCTTAAAGAGCTGTTCCACGTCTCTAATTTATATCATTTCCATTCCCCTGAAAAACACTCCTTAAAGCTCATCCCATCCCCCTGCCATGGCTCCACCTCCCACTGTCCCAGGTGCTCCAGCCCCAGTGTCCAGCCTGGCCTTGGGCACTGCCAGGGATCCAGGGGCAGCCCCAGCTGCTCTGGGAATTCCATCCCAGCCCCTGCCCACCCTGCCAGGGAACAATTCCTCATTGCCCAGATCCCATCCAGCCCTGCCCTCTGGCAATAGGAAGTCATTCCCCCTTGGCCTGGCCCCACAGAACGGAGCCCCTCCAGCCCTGGGAGCATCTCCATTTTCTCACCTTCACTGCAGATGCTTTTTTCTGGTATTTACACCAAACCAACCCTCCTGCAGCTCCACACCTCGCCCCTTGTTCAATCATTTCACTTCTTTCAAACACCAAGCCCAGGCAGAGCTGCAAACCCAGCAGGACATCAAGTCCTGCAGTTGAGCAGAACAATCAGTCTGTAATAAAACTGTGCCTGTTCTCCCTCCTTTATGAAAAAAAAAAAAAAGGAAATGAGAAAGGCAGAGAAGTCTGTTTTCCATGGTGCACGTGGCTCTTCCTGCAGCCTTTGCAGGTGCAAGGTGAGCTCAGGTCTGCCTGCTGCTGGGAGCAGCCACGGCCACACGGGTGCAGAACAGGCTGTGCCAGCCCTGCTGTGGGCCAGGGACAAATCCAGAGGGATTTAAATCACAATGACTGCACAGGAACAACCTGAGGCTCTGCTGTGGAACGGCCACGGTGCCCTGGTCTGTGGCCCAGGGCACAGGAGCAGCGGGGAAGGAGCTGAAATTACAGAAACTTCTCTCCCAAAAGCAGCAGAGCTGCACCTGCAGAGCCTCCAGCCCTGGGACACCAACAGCAGGAGCACCTGGAGCTGCTGAGAGAGCCCAGGGGAGCCCCTCTGGAGCCAGGCTGGGAGAGCTGGGGGTGCTCACCTGGAGAGGAGAAGCTCCAGGGAGAGCTCAGAGCCCCTGGCAGGGCCTGAAGGGGCTCCAGGAGAGCTGCAGAGGGACTGGGGACAAGGGCTGCAGGGACAGGAGCCAGGGAATGGCTGCCAGTGCCAGAGGGCAGGGCTGGATGGGATCTGGGCAATGAGGAATTGTTCCCTGGCAGGGTGGGCAGGGGCTGGGATGGAATTCCCAGAGCAGCTGGGGCTGCCCCTGGATCCCTGGCAGTGCCCAAGGCCAGGCTGGACACTGGGGCTGGAGCAGCCTGGCACAGGGGAAGGTGTCCCTGCCATGGCAGGGTGGCACTGGCTGGGATTTGGGGTCCCTCCCTACCCAAACCATCTTGGGATTCCATGTTTCACCTCAAGCTGTGCTATTTGGTGCCAGATAAATTCCTAGACCACAGGAACAGGGCCCCAAAGGGACAGACACAGAAGAAGGAATCACCTTATCTTGCTTAGACTACAATTCTACCACGCTCCCTTGCACTTGGAGTAATTACAGAGCTGAAGTGGTCAGACCTGTTTGCTGTAGGAAATGGCAGGGCTGGAGCCTGGCAGCAGGAACCAGACCTGGGGGGATGGCAGGAGCCTGCAGATCCACATGGAAAGTGGCCATGGCATCTGGCTGGAGCCTCTGCCACGAGCCAGACACCCACCCCTGGAGCCCTGGGTCAGGAAAAGCTTCACCCAGCAGCAGGAACAGCTCTGTGTCCACCTGCTGTGCCCCCCACGGGCAGCAGGGTGTCTGGATTTAGGAGCCTGCAGGAGGCCTGGGGCTCCAGCTGAGGCTGCTTTTATCAGAGCTTTTACACCTGTGGTGAACAGAGCTTCCAGAGAGGAGACAAACCCTTGGAAATCTGTACCTGTGCACCACATCCCACTGCCAGCAGCTCAGAGACCCCCAGAGCCCAGCTCCCCTCCTGAGCCACCTCCCTGAGCATGGGGAAGGAGGTGTAAAGCAGATCCTGCAGCTTGAAAGGTCACCCAGCACTGCCCAAAGCTGCCCCTTGCTGGTGCCTCTGGAAGGTGTTTTGCAATCCATTCCTGAAGGAATTGGTTTAGATAAACAACCTCTCCCCATGCCTGGTGACAAAGCCGTTCAGATGACCAGAAACCAGTACATTTTACCTTCTGAAAAGGGATAAAACTCTCCTTCAGCTACAGATTTCAAGTGTATTTCCTCTTCTCACACACCCTGTATATACAATCATAGAAGCACGGAATGGTTTGGGTTGGGAGGGACCTGAAAGCTCATGCCATTCCACCTCCTGCTGTGAGCTGGGACACCTTCCACCAGCCCAGGCTGGCCTGGAGAGCTCCCAGGCAGGAGCTGAGAGGTGTGTGAGCAGCCCTGGCTCTGGAGCAGCCCCAGCACCACGGCTCCCTGCACACTTTGATCTCTGTGCCCCAGGGAGGGTCAGCCTGCAGGGCCAGGGAGCTGCAGGGCAGAACAAACAGCTCCAGCGTGGCAACAGACATTAATTCCCAGCCAGTACAAGCCATTCACTCTGCCATTTACACAGCACAACAGCTCTGGAAAAATTCTGCCCCCAGCACAGGAGTCGCTGGGCTGGAGCCACCCAGGCATCAAAAAGCTTCACATAGGCAAGAAATAAAAATTAAAAACCAAACTGTGCCTGTGCAAAAAGAGGCTTTTCAATAACTGTGAGCAAAAGTGGCTGATTGTACAAGCCAGGCTTGTGATTTCCTCCCTGTGGCTCTGCCAAGCCTCACACTGTGGTTCACACTGTGCAGGCAGCTTTCCCAGGACCGGGTGGGAATGGTGGAGAGCAGCCTGGGGAGAAAGTGCTGAGGCCAGACATGCCCCAGCCACGAGCACTGGGACCCCAAAATTCCCGTGGTGATCCCCCAGCATGGGCAGCAGGAAAGGGGGGATTCCAGCCCTCTGCACCCAAAGCCCAGGAGAAAGCCATGCCAGAGGAGCAGAGAGACAAAAGCACCTTCAACAGGGAGCAGACAGGAGCCAGAGGGAACTGGGAGCAGCTGGAGCGTGGAGATACACATCAGAGAGCTGGAGATCCTGATAAGGCATCAAAGGAGCCCCGGGCCTCCCACCACCACCCTGAACTTCCCATCCAGCCTGCTGCTCCTTCCCTCCTCCAGAGGTGGGTACTTCACAGCCTGAGTCACCAGCAGAGCCCCAGGACAGGGCAGTGGAGCCCCAGGAAAGGCCAGGAGATGATGACAGAGCTCCAGGACATGGCAGCAGCTGCCCTGGGAGCAGGCAGGATTGCTGCCCTCCAGCAGCACAAGGGCAGCAGGTTTTACCTGTGTCCCCAGCAGGACAGTGGGACCTCCCAGCTGCACCTCTCTGGGATGGGAATGCCAGCCCAGGATGCTCCAGGCTACAGAGCTGCTCCCATAAACCCAGGACCAACCCACTCCTGCTCCAGGGGAACTGTGCCGGGGTGCCTTTCCCAGGTGAGGCTGTGCTGGGGGCACTTTGGGTCACCCAGGCCTGGCTCTGGTGCCCAGGCTGAGCAGACCTGGTGGCCCTGGGGGTCGTTGCCAAGGCTGGCAGGCGGGATTGGGGTACTCACACAGAGGAGGCCCGAAGAGCACCGTGTCCAGAGCCTTGAGCTGCAGCTTCTGCCGGTGGCTGCGGTCGGTCATCTTGAGCACGGTCCCCATCATGGTGGCATTGTTCACTGCCAGCCTGCACAACAGGACGAGAAACTGCTCTGGGCACAGCCACCAGGGCCAGCAACACAGCAGGCATGAGGGAGATAGAGCAGGGCCCAGGAGCTCCCTGCTGCCAGGGCAAATCCCTCACTGTTGTTGTCTCTAACCAGGGTGTCTCCAGGACACTTGGCAGCAGCATTTTTAGGAAAAACCAGGGCCGGGCCTAATTCATGAACCTGACAGCATGAGGAACTGATTTCCCATCAAAACCCATCTTTTGGTGTCCTACAAATCACTAGTAAGTATTTTTTAACCAAATCTCCATTGCATTTACATCCTCTGTCACAGACCATAAACCACAGTTCTCCCTTGGAAGGAATGTGGGCACACATTGTGCTGCCCCAAAAACACCCTCATTTTAACCCCAGTTAATCCCTCCTTCCCAGTCAGCTGAAAAGGCCCTTTTCAGTGAGAGGAACCTTTACCCAAAAAAGTTGCACTGAGGTTTTTCCAACCTGTTACAAATTTAGGTTGACTCCCAGCCAGTGCTCCTCTTCCACAGAATCATGGAATGGGTTGGGTTGGATGGGACCCCAAATCCCACCCAGTGCCACCCCTGCCATGGCAGAGACGCCTTCCCCTGTGCCAGGCTGCTCCAGCCCCAGTGTCCAGCCTGGCCTTGGGCACTGCCAGGGATCCAGGGGCAGCCCCAGCTGCTCTGGGCACCCTGTGCCAGGGCCTGCCCTCCCTGCCAGGAAACAATTCCTTCCCTGTATCTAACCCAAATTTCCCCTCTTTTCACTGACAGCTGGAGCAGAACTGGGCAGTGCACAGGCCAAGGAACTTCAGGTGATGAGAGGAGCTGACTCCTCTCATCAGGCTGACTCCAGGCCCTGGTTCTCTCCCTGCACACATCCCATGGGCACACTGTGGGCACTGACCTGGGACTGGTACTGACCTGGGCCTGGCACTGACCCTGGCACGGCACTGACCTGGCCATGGCACTGACCTGGGCATGGCGTGGCCGCTGAGCTGCAGCTTGCGGAAGGTCTCCTCGTACTGGGGCAGCTCCACGTAGGAAATGAGCCACTGCACCACCTCGTCCACCGTCCAGTTGTACACTGCAGAGAGCACAACAGCCACAGCTCATCGGGGGATGGGACACCAGGGGGTCACAGCTTCGGGGTGGGAGGGAGCCCACAGCCCACCCAGTGCCACCCTGCCAGGGCAGGGACACCTCCCACTGCGCCAGGCTCCCCTTGTGGGACCACTTTTGCCAAGACTCAGGAACTGCTGAGGTTCTCCTGCCCCTGAGCCCCCACGTGGCATGGGAAGAGCTGCCTGGAGCTTTCCCTGTGACACCACACCTTTCCCAGGGCTGGTTTGCCCCTGCAGTTCCCAAAATTAACACATGCAACGAGGCCATCAGATAGAGGAGCAGAGGAGGCCCCACCTCCTGCCATGGCACCAGCAGGGCTCAGGCCTGGCACCCTGGCAGGGCCAAAGCGCCGGCAGGTGCCAGCTGGGATCACTGGGATTTCTATCAGCCAGGTGATCCTGCTGCCTCCACACTCCAGCAGGGAATGCTCATCCTCAGCACATGCCCAAAGACCCTGAATTCTGAGGTCAGCCCCCAAAACCTCACCCCCTGCTCCAGGCCCTGGCACAGGGTGCCCAGAGCAGCTGTGGACTCCCCATCCCTGGCAGTGCCCAAGGCCAGGCTGGATGGGGCTTGGAGCAGCCTGGGACAGTGGAAGGTGTCCCTGCCAGGGCTCTGGATGGGCTGTGAGGTCCATTCCAACCCAAACCAGGCTGGGATTCCCTCTGGGCTCTGACTAAGAAAAGCACACACGGAGCGATGCCAGAAAAATCCGATCGGAAGCAGCTTGAGAAAGGATCTGTGGGAGGAGGAGGAGCAGGTGCTGCAGCCCAAGTGAACCAGGTGAACTTTGCTCCTTAACCTCCTCCCCTGGGCATCTGTGGATTATTTCTGGAGCTGTTATGCAGCTCCAGAGCCATAAATGAGGAAACCTTAGGAAATCAAGCTCCTGCCCTTGCCACTTTGTTGTGCTGTATTCACAGCAATGCTCTGGAGGCAAACACAGTCCCAGAATCCCAGACTGGTTTGGGTTGGGAGGGACCTTAAATCCCATCCAATGCCACCCCTGCCATGGCGGGGACACCTCCAGTGTCCCAGTGTCATGTTCAGCCTGGCCTGGGACAAGGCAGATGTGTTTATTGGACAGAGGGGCTTTGTAACACTTGAATTTATCATCCCCTGGCCCCGTCCATGGCAGGGCTGCATGGCTCTGCTGCAATGCCAACCCTGGCAGGGCCCACGAGCACAGAAATATCTTCCCAAACTCCAGGGAGCCCAACACCTCCCATGGGGAGCTCAGGGGTGAGGGAGAGGAGGGATGGGCAGTCTGGGAGAGATGAGGGATCTGGGGAACGTGGGGGAGCTGAGAGAGATGAGGGAGATGGAGCTCAGAGAAATGAGATGGCAAATCTGGCAGAGATGGGGGAGCTGAGAGAGATGGAGCTCAGAGAAATGAGGTGGCAAATCTGGCAGAGATGGGGGAGCTGGAGCTGTGGGTGCTGAGAGAGATGAATGAGCTCAGAGAGCTGACTGAACTATGAAGTGGAGAAAGATGAAGACGAGGAAGCTGAAGGAGCTCACAGACCTGAGGGAGATGAGGGAGATGGAGCTCAGAGAGATGAGATGGCAAAGCTGGGAGAGATGGGGGAGCTGGAGCTGTGGGAGCTGGGGGAGATGAATGAGCTCAGAGAGCTGACTGAACTATGAAGTGGAGAAAGATGAAGACGAGGAAGCTGAAGGAGCTCACAGACCTGAGGGAGATGAGGGAGAAGGAGCTCAGAGGAATGAGTGATGAGAGAGAAGAGGGATCTGGGAGAGAAGAGTGAGCTCAGAGCTAACTGAGCTGAGGGAGCTGAGGCAGAGCCCCGTGCTGAGTGAGCACAGCAAGGCTCCAAAGGAAGGTGCCATTCCCACAGGTGCTGGCATGGTGACCCAGCTGCAGGGTGGCACAGACGATGCCACCAACCCTCCCTGGCCGCAGGGAGCTCCTGTCACTGTGCCACACACCAGGGGACACCTGTGGCTGTGGCACCAGCAGGATGGCAACGATGGGAGAAGCCACAGGCCCTGCACAGTGGCATCACCAGCACTTGCCACAGGACATGAGACCACGTGCCCAGCCAGCAGCAGCTCCTCCAGAGCCCCTGGCTTCTCTCACCTCCACGTGCAGCCGTGTTTCTTGTGGGAAGAACCCCTGAGAACCACAGATGAGCAGGACCCTGCCCTGCCTCCTCACCCCAGGGGCTGATCTGGCATCGCTTCCACAGCTTTGGCAGAGCCAGGCTCACCCAGGTGCCACCCCTCAGATCCAGCACCTCGTGAGGCCACCACAGCCTTTACCTTCTGCCATGATTCAGGGGCAGAAATCTCTTTTTACTTCCCACACGTGACCAGGAACAGCAGCAATGGAAGGGAGAAAAAGCAATGGCTTGAAAATAAGTGACACAGGCCCAGCCACCCCACACCTGAGGGATGTCAGTGCCCTTCACAGCTGTTTGCACACCCACAGGAGGGAGCAGACCTTTCCTACGAGCCTGATTGATGACTTCAGCTCAAACTCCAAAACTAGGCTTCAAATTTCCCTGGCAGTGTCCCAGGCCAGGCTGGACCCTGGCACAGTGGAAGGCTCCCTGCCTGGCAGGGGTGGCACTGGGTGGGCTCTGAGGTCCCTCCCACCCCAACTCCTGTGATTCCATGACATCAGAGCACCCTTCAGAAAGCAGGCACTCGTTCTGTCAGCCAGATCTACACGATGATGAAAGGGAAAACAAGAGCAGGAGCTCAGTCCAGCACTGGACAGCCACTGTGTCCCTGCAGGGACGTGGCTGCCCTGGCTGTGCAGAGGCAGGGACACAGCCAGGGCAGCTCAGTAATGAGGGGTCTGGTGAGTATCCAGGGATGTTCTCCTCCATCCCTTAATGATTTCTACCCTTTCCCAGCTGACAGCAAAACACACTCCAGGCAAAGCCGTGTGTAAACAGGCCTGTAAGGGGATAAATATTTCTTACAGGAGGCACAGGGAGTCAGAGTCATGGAATCACAGCATCCCTGAGGCTGGAAAATGCCTCTGAGCCCACAGAGCCCAACCACCCCCAGCACTGCCACAGACACCCCGACCATGTTCCCAAGTGCCACATCCTCAGGGCTGTGAAATGCCCCAGGATGTGATTCCATCCCTGTCCTGGGCAATTGTGCCACTCCTGAAGTGATGTGGACAAGAATTTTCAACACATCCATGTCCAGCTCCATGGGAGAGAGTCTGGTCTGGGACACACAGCTCTGGAATTGTCACATGGATATCACACAGTCTGCTTTGGACTGGGAGAGACCTCAAATCCCACCCAGTGCCACCCTGCCATGGCAGGGACACCTTCCCCTGTGCCAGGCTGCTCCAGCCCCAGTGTCCAGCCGGGCCTTGGGCACTGCCAGGGATCCAGGGGCAGCCCTGGGAATTCCATCCCAGCCCCTGCTCACCCTGCCAGGGAACAATTCCTCATTGCCCAGATCCCACCCAGCCCTGCCCTCTGGCACTGGCAGCCATTCCCTGGCTCCTGTCCCTCCATCCCTGTCCCCAGTCCCTCTGCAGCTCTCCTGGAGCCCCTTCAGGCCCTGCCAGGGGCTCTGAGCTCTCCCTGGAGCCCTCTCTCCTCATGCACAGCCCCACTGTGTTTCCATCCACGTTGCAGATGCTGCACCTCAGGGTCCATTCAGTGCTCCTGGGAATGGGATTGACTGCTGCACTCCCTGAGGCTGCACCCACAGCTCTGGAAACACAGAGCACATCCCACCTGAGACACTTAAGGGCTAACACAGAAAAGCCAAACACAAACAGGACATAAATGAGAAACTGAAATTGCTGTGGCTGGTGAACTGATTAGAAGATTAACATCCAGTATTTCAAGGAATGGACATAGATAGAATTCCTCTTTTAGAGATGAGGAACACTTAAGGAAACTGGATTCGTGATTTCTGTGGAATTCTGTGTGAAAGCACTGGGGAAGCACTTGCCAATCTTAAAAGTTTGTTCCAAGACTCCCAGGTTTCAGGAGGTTTCTCAGCAGAAGCTGAAGTCCCAGCAGCTCCCTGGATGCTGGGATAAATAACAGCATTAAGTTATTTCTACGTGGACTGCACTTATGACACTTCCTGGATTTTATTCTCCCTTCTTCTCACTGTGAAGGAGCTTTCCAGGTTAAAAATGTTTCTGCTAAGAAAAACACAACCTGCAGGAAAGCTCCCAAGCAGCTCTATTAATATGTAGGATGCCATCACCCCAGTACAATTCCATCTGGAACTGGGTGTTTGAAGAACCTGGAATTTGGCTGTATTTAACACACATTTCTAGGGCAGAGGAACAAAACAAGAACTGATCCTTTGGTGGGCACGCTCAGGTGCTGCAGGAACAGTTTTGGAAGCACCAACCCCGAGGAAATCCTGGGAATCCACACCTCAAAAAGGGAGCTGAAGAGCACAAGGCCTGGCACAAGGGAGGAAAAGCAGCACATTGCTCCTGAGAGCTGCACTCTCTGCCCAGGGCATCTGCAATCCAAACTCCTTGGCACTCCTGGGAAAGGATTTCTTGCCTTTTTGCCCTTTTTTACCTTCGGATGTTTTCCAGGCCTTCCAGAGATCTTCCACACTGATGAGCTTGTCCTCTCCATGGAAAGTGCTGTGCTTGACTGCTGGGTCATGGTAATTCAAGTCTTCCCTCAAGAACTAGGAGAGGAATTAACAGCAGGATTAAGCTTTGGTTCATCTTATAGGGAGATGAGGAGCATAAAGAAAATTTCTGAATAGTAATAATTTTGATGGGAAAGTTATAATAAATCTGAATTAAAAAACCATGATGGATATATTAGATATATAAGGTATACACATCTATCTTTTATACAGATATAAGTATATTCCCTGCAGTTCCCCTGAATATCTCTGTTCCTGGAAAGACCAGCCAGGAAATATTCAGTAAGCAAATATGTTAAATTAATTTATAATGGAGTAGGGATAAGTATGCTTGGTCTTGGGATTCCAGACTTTTCTTTGAATTATAGTAACACCAAAAATTCACATAAGTGGCACAATGGAACCAGCTTTATGTCAATGGAGTAAGAACCCAAAAAATTATTCCTGGGTTTGATCTGCACCTTCAAATCCAAGCTGGAACAAATGCCACAGGCAGGAGGGGAAGTAGTTCCACTGAAAAATACAGATAAATCTATGTATCCCAGCTCAGTGGGGGCCCTGAGCAGCTGGGGCTGCCCCTGGAGCCCTGGCAGTGCCCAAGGCCAGGCTGGACACTGGGGCTGGAGCAGCCTGGCACAGGGGAAGATGTCCCTGCCATGGCAGGGTGGCACTGGGTGGCATTTGAGGTCCTTCCCAACCCAAACCAGTCTGTGAAATCCACCAGAGAACCACTCACATCCCAGTGCCCAGCAGCTGGAACCAAGTTCAAGGATAATCCCACATTCCCAACCCCCAGGACACGATCCCTGGGCTCTCCACGTGCGACAGGCTGGTACCCACACCCAAAAAACACCCTTAGGTCTGGAGATGGTGCCTGAACGTCACGCAGGGCACGGACAAGGCCTGGGTCATGGTAATTTTTAGGTCCCAGGATCCCTGCAAACCCCCTGCAGGAGCTGCAGCCTGGGGCTCTGCCCAAAAGCTGGCACGGGCTCTTCCTGCCTGCCAGAACACAGGGAATGTGGGGAATGTGGAAAACGGGAGCATTTGGGGAATGTGGAAAATGCAGGAATCTGGGAAAATGTGGAAAACAAGACAATTTAGGGAAATGGGGAAAAGGGGAGAATGTGGGGACATGTGGAAAAGGGGAGAATTTGGGGAAATGTGGAAAAGGGGAGAATTTGGGGAAATGTGGAAAAGGGGAGAATCTGGGGAAATGTGGAAAAGGGGGGAATTTGAGGACGTGGAAAACATTTGAGAATATGGGGAATGTGGAAAATGGAAGAATCTGGGGAAATGTGGAAAATGGGAGCATTTGGGGAAACGTGAAAAACGGGAGAATGTGGGAAAATGTGGAAAATGGAAGAATCTGGGGAAATGTGGAAAATGGGAGAATGTGAGAAATGTGGAAAGGGAGAATTTGGGGAAATGTGGAAAGGGGGAGAATGTGGGGACATGTGGAAAAGGGGAGAATTTGGGAAATGTGGAGAAGGGGAGAATTTGGGGAAATGTGGAAAATGGGAGAGTGGAGAGAAATGTGGCAAGGGAGAATTTGGGGAAATGTGGAAAAGGGGAGAATGTGGGAAATGTGGAGAAGGGGAGAATGTTGGGACATGTGGAAACCAGGAGAATCTGGGGAAATGTGCAAAATGGGAGAATTTGGGAAATGCGGAAAAGGGAGAATTTGGGGAAATGTGCGAAATGGGAGAATTTGGGAAATGCGGAAAAGGGAGAATTTGGGGAAATGTGCGAAATGGGAGAATTTGGGAAATGCGGAAAAGGGAGAATTTGGGGAAATGTGCGAAATGGGAGAATTTGGGAAATGCGGAAAAGGGAGAATTTGGGGAAATGTGCGAAATGGGAGAATTTGGGAAATGCGGAAAAGGGAGAATTTGGGGAAATGTGGAAAAGGGGAGAATCTGGGGACATGTGGAAAACGGGAGAATTTGGGAAATGTGGGAAACTGGAGAACTTGGGAAACATGGAACCCAGGAGAACTTGGGAAGCATGGAACACGGGAGAACTTGGAAAGATGGAACCCAGGAGAACTTGGGAAGCATGGAACACGGGAGAACTTGGAAAGATGGAACCCAGGAGAACTTGGGAAGCATGGAACACGGGAGAACTTGGAAAGATGGAACCCAGGAGAACTTGGGAAGCATGGAACACGGGAGAACTTGGAAAGATGGAACCCAGGAGAACTTGGGAAGCATGGAACACGGGAGAACTTGGAAAGATGGAACCCAGGAGAACTTGGGAAGCATGGAACACGGGAGAACTTGGAAAGATGGAACCCAGGAGAACTTGGGAAGCATGGAACACGGGAGAACTTGGAAAGATGGAACCCAGGAGAACTTGGGAAGCATGGAACACGGGAGAACTTGGAAAGATGGAACCCAGGAGAACTTGGGAAATATGGGAAACGGAACCATTTGGGAAATGCGGAAAAGGGAGAATTTGGGGAAATGTGGAGAAGGGGAGAATGTGGGGAAATGTGGGAAACTGGAGAACTTGGGAAATGTGGGAAACTGAACCATTTGGGAAATGTGGAAAACGGGAGAATTTGGGAAACATGGAACACGGGAGAATTTGGGAAACATGGAACCCAGGAGAATTTGGGAAACATGGAACACGGGAGAACTTGGGAAACATGGAACCCTGGAGAACTTGGGAAACATGGAACACGGGAGAATTTGGGAAACATGGAACCCAGGAGAACTTGGGAAACATGGAACCCTGGAGAACTTGGGAAACATGGAACCCTGGAGAACTTGGGAAACATGGAACACGGGAGAATTTGGGAAACATGGAACCCTGGAGAACTTGGGAAACATGGAACTCGGGAGAACTTGGGAAACATGGAACCCAGGAGAACTTGGGAAATATGGAACCCTGGACAACTTGGGAAACATGGAACTCGGGAGAACTTGGGAAACATGGAGCACGGGAGAATTTGGGAAACATGGAACCCAGGAGAATTTGGGAAACATGGAACCCTGGAGAACTTGGGAAACATGGAACACGGGAGAACTTGGGAAACATGGAACACGGGAGAACTTGGGAAACATGGAACCCTGGAGAACTTGGGAAACATGGAACACGGGAGAATTTGGGAAACATGGAACACGGGAGAACTTGGGAAACATGGAACACGGGAGAATTTGGGAAACATGGAACCCTGGAGAACTTGGGAAACATGGAACACGGGAGAACTTGGGAAACATGGAACCCAGGAGAACTTGGGAAACATGGAACCCTGGAGAACTTGGGAAACATGGAACCCTGGAGAACTTGGGAAACATGGAACACGGGAGAACTTGGGAAACATGGAACCCTGGAGAACTTGGGAAACATGGAACCCTGGAGAACTTGGGAAACATGGAACACGGGAGAACTTGGGAAACATGGAACACGGGAGAACTTGGGAAACATGGAACCCTGGAGAACTTGGGAAACATGGAACACGGGAGAACTTGGGAAACATGGAACACGGGAGAACTTGGGAAACATGGAACCCTGGAGAACTTGGGAAACATGGAACACAGGAGAACTTGGGAAGCATGGAACCCTGGAGAACTTGGGAAGCGTGGAACCCTGGAGAACTTGGGAAACATGGAACCCTGGAGAACTTGGGAAAGATGGAACCCTGGAGAACTTGGGAAACATGGAACCCAGGAGAACTTGGGAAGCGTGGTGGCAGCAGGGGCTGAGCCAGCCTGGCGCTCCAGCTGCGCCAAGGCCTGGCCCGGAGGCGCCGTGCCCAGCGGGAACGCGGCAATGTCACCGTGTCACCGGCCCCGCTCCTGCTCCGGCTGCAGCACGCTCAGCTGCTGCTCTGTATATTTAGAAAGGAAAGGTGATCCCTCAGCTTCCCCTGGGCTCCAAAACAAACCCAAGGACTCGCCGGAGGGACGGAGCTGGGCTGGGGGAGGATCTGATAAACGAGCAGGGTGGGGCTGGGGGAGCTGGGCTGAGCCCAACAAAGCACATTTCCCACCAGTACCTTCTGGGGAAAAGACAAAATCATGGAGTCCCAGACTGGTTTGGGTTGGGAAGGACCTTAAAGTCCATCCATGGACAGGGGCACCTTCCACTGCCCCAGATATTCCAAACCCCAGGCACAAGAAGCACTGTGCAGAGCACTGACCTACTTGCAAAGCACTGGAAAGATCCCACTGACCCCAGGCCTGGAGACAGCCAAAGCTCTGAGCCCTGGGCAGAGGGTGGACCAGACCATTGCCATGGTCCCACACAAACCATCTCCAAGATCCCACCCAGAGCACCCCAGCCTCAGCCGGGCTGTGAATCCACAAGGAAACTGAGTCAAACCCGAGTCTCCCCACCAAGCTCAGGGAAAGACAAACCCTGGTCAAACCAGTCAAAAGCACCAGGACCAGAACCGCTGCTACAAACCCCAGGAGGAGCTGGGATCACAGTGGGAAGACTCAGCCTGGGAATGCTGGTCTTGGTACTCTGAGGCCTCCAACAGCAGGAGCACCTGGAGCTGCTGGAGAGAGCCCAGAGGGGTCACAGAACTGCTGCAGGGCTGGAGCCCCTCTGGAGCCAGGCTGGGAGAGCTGGGGGTGCTCACCTGGAGAGGAGAAGCTCCAGGGAGAGCTCAGAGCCCCTGGCAGGGCCTGAAGGAGCTCCAGGAGAGCTGCAGAGGGACTGGGGACAAACTTTCTGGCTGAAGGCACACTCAGAAATGAGCAGATCCACAAAATGGGATTTTCTGGAGGGTTTTTTTTTTTTTTCCATAGAATCACAAAATGTGATTCTAAGTTGGGAGGGACCCAACAGGATCGTCAAGTCCAAGTCCTGGCTCTTCACAGCCCCAACAATCCCACCTCGTGCCTGAGAGCGTTGTCCGATCTCTCCTTGAACTCCGTTCTGTGGTTTTTTTATCTGCAGAAACTCCAGCTACTGAAGTGGTTTTCCCAAGCTTCCCATCCCTCCCACACCCCTGGATGTGTGCCAGCCTCCCTCCCGAGCACCAGCTCCTGCTGTGCCCAGCCAAGGGCCAGACCGGCCACGCGCCGGGAGCGCGCCGTGCTCCCCAGCTCCAGCAGCTGCCCTGAGCCTCCAGCTCCACCAAAGGGACAGAAAACTCCTGTCTCCAAGGCTTCCCCACCCAGCGAGCCCAGGCAGAGGGAGCTGGCTCTGGGAGGAGCCAGAGAAAGGCCGAGCAGCAACACAAACCTTGCTTCCTGAGGAAACCAGGCTGGCAGCATCGCAGAGCCCTGGCAGCGGGCACCCACATCCCAGAGAGCCACAGCTGCCTTTGCTGCGAGCGTGGAGACAGGAATAGATCCCTAATTAGAAGATTTCCCCATGAGGGACAGTTCTTTCACTTTAATCGAGGCCACTGATGTCATCTGAAAGTTCATTGAAGATTCACCTCCCAGCAGGAGAACTGCAAGGATGGTGCATGGACAGCGTGAAGCTGCGGGACAAAACTGCACCCATAATTTATTTTAAAAGTACCTGTGTTGTCTGTGTGTCCCCTTCTGCCCAGGCAGGGGTTTCAGTCCAAACAAAACACTCCCATCACTTACCCCCAAAGGGTAGGGGCCAAAATAATAAATGAAAATATAAAGTTCTCAACCTAGCAGGAAAATGCCCATCCCTGGAAGAGTTCCAATCCAGGCTGGACCAGGCTTAGCTCAACCTGGGATAATGGAAGGTGTCCCTGCCCACGGCAGGTGGTGGAACTGGATGAGGTTTAAAGTCCCTCCCAACCCAGACCATCCTGGAAGTCCATGAACCCCGTAAAAGGTTTACATTTGAGCCTCCTGCATTCTTCCCAATAATCCCCCAGCAGCTGTCCCCCCACAGCCCGGAGTTAAACCTGACTGCAGGCTCCATGTGGGGGAAGAGTGATAACCTTGAGAGGGAGAACACAGCAGGAGCCAGCTCAGAGAGGGAAATTCCTGCAATACCTCACTGAGTGGCTCCAGAGCTTATTGACAGGTGAACTTAATGCAACTTCAATAAAAGCTTAGCAGAGGTAAAGCAGCAACTGCGTGGATGGAATCCAGGGACAGGGAGTCACTGAGGTTGGAAAAGACTTCCAAAATCATGGAGTCCAACTGTAAGTGCAACAACCTGAGCGCTCTGCTTGGGGCAATCCCAGCACAAACACAGCCTGGGGAGAATGGACTGGGAGCAGCCCTGGGGACAGGGAGCTGGGATTGGGGGAGAAGCTCCACAGGCCCTGGCCACGAGCACTGGGACCTGAAATCCCTGTGCCCTGGGCTGGTCCCACAGTGTGGGCAGCAGGAAAGGGATTGGGATTGTGCCCCTCTGCCCCTCTCAGGCTGGACAGCCCTCTCCAGGAGGAATTTTCCCAATGTCCAACCCGAACTTGCCCTGGTTCAGCCTGAGGCCGTTCCCTCTGCTCCTGTCCCTGTTCCCTGGAGCAGAGCCCGACCCCCCCGGCTGTCCCCTCCTGGCAGGGACTTGTGCAGAGCCACAAGGGCCCCTGAGCCTCCTTTGCTCCAGGCTCAGCCCCCTCAGCCTCTCCTGGTGCTCCAGACCCTTTTCCAGCAGCCTGAGGCCGTTCCCTCTGCTCCTGTCCCTGTTCCCTGGAGCAGAGCCCGACCCCCCCGGCTGTCCCCTCCTGGCAGGGACTTGTGCAGAGCCACAAGGGCCCCTGAGCCTCCTTTGCTCCAGGCTCAGCCCCCTCAGCCTCTCCTAGTGCTCCAGACCCTTTTCCAAGCCTGTTGCCCTGCTAGAAGCAGAGCAGAGGTGCTGGGAGCAGGAGCAGCCCTGGCAGGGCTCAGCACTCTCAGATCCAGCTCAGAGGGCTTTGGGGAGTGGCAGTAAGAACACCAAGGCAGTGATTCTGGAGCCTCTTGGAAAAAACCCATTGAATTCCTCCCACCCTGGCAGTGTCTCTGTGCCAAGGCTCTGAGCACACGTTCCCAGCAGCGTTTTGTACCAGGAGCTCCCCATGACTCCAGTGGGAGTGGGGGCAATATTTGCTCAGAGACATAAAACTGCCAGCTCTGCCCAGCCCTAAGGACACGAGGCTTATTCCTGATTTAATGCCAGGGAGCAGCACACCTGGGCTGAACTGGGCTGCCCGAGGCTGCCCCAGTCCCTGGAGAGGCTGAGCTGCAGCTCCAGCCACCCAGTGCAGGGAACTGCCTCCAGGGAAACACCTCAGGTGCTGGAGGAAATGCAACTGGAAGCTTTTCAGTTGCTTTCACTACTCAGTCAGGTGGGATTGAGGCAGAGGGAACAGCCCTGCAAGCTGGGAACAGCCACCCAAAACCAGCAGCTCCTGGCTCCAGGGGCCTGTGCCGTGTCCCTGGGAATTGTCACTGCTCCAGAGGGACGTTGTGATGGCTGGCTCTGTAAGGTCCCTTCAACCCAAACCAGTCTGGGATTCTGTCACCTGGGACTGCAGAGCTGCCCGTGAGTGGCAGCAGATCCCTGCACCCACGTGCTTCCTCTTTCAGCTTCCAACACTTTGCCTTTCCTGTTTAGCTGCCAGTTCTCCCCAGAAGACAGAATTCCTCACCTCCAACGAGCACCCACCACAACTGAGGCAACACTGCAAACAAAGAGCTTTTCCTTTTCCAGCAGACTCTTATTTCCATCAGTGCTTGTGTAAATAAAGAACAACAACTTTCTTTCTCTTCAATCCTTTATCACCTAAATGTCCAAGGCTGACACAACAAAAAGCTGCTCCTTTTTTTGCACTGAGCACACATGGCCCGAAATCTCTTTAGTTGGCTGCTGGAAGACTGCAGTAAACATAAAATCATGGAATGGTTTGGGTTGGGAGGGACATTAAAGCTCATTTAATTCCATCCCCTATCATGGGCAGCAGACCCCTTCCACTATCCCAGGCTGCTCCAAGCTTCGCCCAACCTGGCCTTGGACACTGCCAGGGATGGAGCAGCCACAGCTGCTCTGACAACAATGAAGTGGCTACAAACCCCCAGCAGGGAGGAGAAGCCCCAGCCAGCACTGGTGACAGTGCTGAGACACCCCTTGGAACATCTCAAGGTGACACGTGGCTTCCTCTGTGCTGAGGAGGAGGCACCAAGCCCAGGGGCAGCCCTGGCCACAGCAGCCTGACTGTGAGAGCAGCCCCAGCGCTGGGCTGGGCGAGGCCCTGGTGATACCTCAGGTTTGAAATTTCTCTGTTCTGTTTTGGTGTGCAGCTTTAGCTTTATGTTAAGTGTTACTGGGATCTTTTCACAGGGTGGTGAGGACAAAACTATCCCGTTCTAGCTGGAGACTCAAGGACAATCTCTTCCAACTTCAGGCCAAAAGCACAAACAATGTGAAAATAAGAGGGTGGGCAAACAAGCAAGGAGGATGAAACTTCATCATTTGAAGCTATTAATTGGACAGTTGGCTCCTGTATGCAAATGGACTAAAACTTATAAAAATGTGAGCTCTCCCGACCGAGCCCTCTTCTGCTTCCATCTCTGCCATCCTGGCAGAGCCACACCTGTGGCTGTTGTCCTGCCTATTCGAAGGCCCTTCAATAAATACCCTCTTTATTCTCCTAACTCCATCCAGCCCCAGGCCCCACCGGGCACAGCCCGGCCCGCGCTGACCTCGTCGCTCTCCTCCACGTCCACGTTTCCGTTGGCGTCGTCGTCCATCTGCTTGTGGATGTTGCGCACGGCCTCGAAGCTCAGCTGCTCGTCCTCGTCGTGGCACAGGGCCTTGTCGATGCGGCAGAACTCTGCAGGGGCAAACAGCGACGGTCAGGCGGCGGCAGCGACCCCCGGTGTCCCTGCAGCTGCCACGGCGGGCTGGGCCACCAGCACAGCCCATGGAGCCGGGCAGGGCAGGGCAGGGCAGGGCAGGGCGCAGTCCCAGCCCAGCCCTCCACATCCCATGGGACAGCTCTCCCAGCAGGGCAGGGCGCAGTGATGGAGCCGGGCAGGGCAGGGCAGGGCACAGCAGGGCAGGGCGCAGTCCCAGCCCAGCCCTCCTCACTGCCATGGGGCAGCTCTCCCTGCAGGGCAGGGTGCAGTCCCACCCCAGCCCTCCTCACTGCCATGGGGCAGCTCTCCCAGCAGGGGCTGGCTCCTGCCCACAGCCCCAGCTCCAGCAGGGCAGGGCGCAGTGCCAGCCCACCCCTCCACATCCCATGGGACAGCTCTCCCTACAGGGGCTGGCTCCTGCCCACAGCCCCAGCTCCAGCAGGGCAGGGCGCAGTGCCAGCCCACCCCTCCACATCCCATGGGACAGCTCTCCCTACAGGGGCTGGCTCCTGCCCACAGCCCCAGCTCCAGCAGGGCAGGGCGCAGTGCCAGCCCACCCCTCCACATCCCATGGGACAGCTCTCCCTACAGGGGCTGGCTCCTGCCCACAGCCCCAGCTCCAGCAGGGCAGGGCGCAGTGCCAGCCCACCCCTCCACATCCCATGGGACAGCTCTCCCTACAGGGGCTGGCTCCTGCCCACAGCCCCAGCTCCAGCAGGGCAGGGCGCAGTGCCAGCCCACCCCTCCACATCCCATGGGACAGCTCTCCCTACAGGGGCTGGCTCCTGCCCACAGCCCCAGCTCCAGCAGGGCAGGGCGCAGTGCCAGCCCACCCCTCCACATCCCATGGGACAGCTCTCCCTACAGGGGCTGGCTCCTGCCCACAGCCCCAGCTCCAGCAGGGCAGGGCGCAGTGCCAGCCCACCCCTCCACATCCCATGGGACAGCTCTCCCTACAGGGGCTGGCTCCTGCCCACAGCCCCAGCTCCAGCAGGGCAGGGCGCAGTGCCAGCCCACCCCTCCACATCCCATGGGACAGCTCTCCCATCAGGGGCTGGCTCCTGCCCACCCCCCCAGCTCCAGCAGGGCAAGGCAGGGTGCCCCTCTCAGCCCAGCCCTCCACATCCCATGGGACAGCTCTCCCTGCAGGGGCTGGCTCTTGCTCAAGGCCCCAGCAGGGCAGGGCAGGGTGCCCCTCTCAGCCCAGCCCTCCACACTGCCATGAGGCAGCTCTCCCTGCAGGGGCTGGCTCTTGCTCAAGGCCCCAGCAGGGCAGGGCAGGGTGCCCCTCTCAGCCCAGCCCTCCACACTGCCATGAGGCAGCTCTCCCTGCAGGGGCTGGCTCTTGCTCAAGGCCCCAGCAGGGCAGGGCAGGGTGCCCCTCTCAGCCCAGCCCTCCACATCCCATGGGACAGCTCTCCCAGCAGGGCAGGGTGCCCCTCTCAGCCCAGCCCTCCACACTGCCATGGGGCAGCTCTCCCTGCAGGGGCTGGCTCCTGCCGATGGCCCCAGCTCTAGCAGGGCAGGGGGTCCCTCTCAGCCCAGCCCTCCACACTGCCATGGGGCAGCTCTCCCTGCAGGGGCTGGCTCCTGCCGATGGCCCCAGCTCTAGCAGGGCAGGGGGTCCCTCTCAGCCCAGCCCTCCACATCCCATGGGACAGCTCTCCCAGCAGGGCAGGGTGCCCCTCTCAGCCCAGCCCTTCACACTCTACCAGAACAGCTCTCCCTGCAGGGGCTGGCTCCTGCCCATGGCCCCAGCTCTAGCAGGGCAGGGCAGGGTGCCCCTCTCAGCCCAGCCCTTCACACTCTACCAGAACAGCTCTCCCTGCAGGGGCTGGCTCTTGCTCATGGCCCCAGCTCCAGCAGGGCAGGGCAGGGTGCCCCTCTAAGCCCAGCCCTCCACATCCCATGGGACAGCTCTCCCATCAGGGCAGGGTGCCCCTCTCAGCCCAGCCCTTCACACTCTACCAGAACAGCTCTCCCTGCAGGGGCTGGCTCTTGCTCATGGCCCCAGCTCCAGCAGGGCAAGGCAGGGTGCCCCTCTCAGCCCAGCCCTCCACATCCCATGGGACAGCTCTCCCAGCAGGGGCTGGCTCCTGCCCATGTCCCCAGCTCCACGTCTCCCTTGGAGGCTGTTGATGTTGGCACCACATGCAGCCAGGGCGTTTGGGGAGGAAGAGTTGTGTGTTTATAATACACAGCAATTAAAACCCTTCCCTCTTCCTGATTATGGAACGGGCTCTTCTGGCTGTTTTTCACATCATCTTGTACTTTCTAAGACTAACACTTTACATTTTGCTGCGTGCCCGAGTCCATGCAAGCACCACACGGGGCTGATCCGGCCCCCCATGGCACTGCCAGGTGGTGACACGAGACCCAGGGATGGGGAATCCTCAGGGACCTGGGCAAGCTGGAGAGCTGGGACCATGCCAAGGCCATGGAGTTCAGCAGGGCCAAGTGCAAGGTCTGCAGGGGCTGGGGGTGTTCACCTGCACAAGAGATACCTGAGAGCCCCTGCCAGGGCCTAAAGGGGTGCCAGGAGAGCTGGAGAGGGACTGGGGACAAGGGAATGGCTTCCCACTGACAGTGATGCAGCCTCCTGCAGAGGCAGGGCTGCTGTCCTGCTGCTTCCCAAACCTCGGGGAGTTTACTCCCTGGTAACTCATGTCTGTCCATGTGGCATGGGGAGTCCAGCAACGCTGTGACCTGGGGACCCAACCAGTGAGTGAACTGGGAACCCTTCCCAGGGCTCTCCTGAAGGGACACCCTGAGCCACACGGACCTCAGAAAAACACCGGGTGCCCTGAGGCTGACTTGGAGAGATTTGGGGTTCCTCTCCTACCCTGCCAGAGCTCTCCCGTGGCTCAGAGCTTTGGCTGGGCCTTTCTGTGTGGCTGCCCCCGTTATCTCCGAGGCAGCGAGCAGGGACACGAGATGGTCTCTGTGTTTATGCTGCCCTTGGACACGACTCCAGAAGGAAAAATGAAGCCAGGCTAAACGATATCTCCCAAAATATTACATGGTTATCTTGTTCCGAGCCTGTGCTTGTTGTTGCAGGGGAGAACATGGCAACGCTGTAGCAAAGTTTGGATTATAGGAAGGGAAGGTCGTGTTATTGTAAAAGTGGGTTTATTCAGATTAACCCCCTCCTGACCACGGAACTCCCGAGCCCTGGCTCACGTCTGTTCAAGGGGTTCAACCAGGGAAAGAGACCTGTAGGGATGAAGAAAGGAAGGGATGCAGGATTGGAGGAGTCAAGGATTGAGGGGACCCTGCCCAGATTTCCTGCCACCCCAAGGACAACCCCTGGGTATTTGCAGCACAAATGCCAGGAATGAAGATTGACTGAGAGCAACAGCAATAAAACAAGGCTTTCAAGAGCTGCCAGGTGCTGATAATCAACTACACCATCAACAGCAATCAAACCAAACCCGGGAGGAATGTGGTGCTTTCATCAAGACCAAAAGGAGCCTGAATACTGAGCACAAGTGATTTAATCAGCAGACAACCCCGTAGTGGTAACAGAATGATCCCAACATTTCAGCAGCCACGATGGGCTATTCATTCCCCTGCCTGTTATCTCCCTTCCTCTCCCTGTTATCCCCACGGGCAGGAATACCCAAATGAAGGAACAAAGACCAGCACCAGCCAATTTGCCTAAGACTGACGGAAGATTAAGCCTAAAGATCCTAGCACAGAATCGTCCTTTGTGTGGGAAGGGACCTTAAAGCTCATCCACACCTTCCCCTGTCTCAGGCTGTCCCAAGCAGCTCTGGAATACTGCAATCAGGCTATTCCAACGCACCTCCAGCGAACAAAAGCCTCAAAATGACTACGAAATTTGCTTTAAGTAGGTCTCCCTCTCCAGAACGTCCAGCCCTGACTTTGGCCCCGGCAGCTTCCCCAAGAGACCCCTGCTGCCTGGTCCTCCCAGGGCTGTGGCTCCTGAGGAGCAGCACCACCACCTCCACTCCCACCCCGCCCCTCTGAGTCACCGGGAACCTTCTGTCTCCATCCCGCTGCTCGGTGGCCCCAGGCCTGCTCTTTATCTCCCACCATCGGCTCACAGGCTGCTTCTGCCCCGCCGAGCGCAACAAAGAGTCCCTTGTCCCTCCCAAGGGGTGTCTTTGATGGGCCATTAACCGGGGCACGTCAACACGGGCCGGCCTCACGTCCCCGCTGCTGGCCCTTCCATCCCCGCTGCTGGCCCTCCCATCCCTCCTGCTGCTCCTTCCATCCCTCCTGCTGGCCCTTCCATCCCCGCTGCTGGCCCTCCCATCCCTCCTGCTGGCCCTTCCATCCCCCCTGCTGCCCCTTCCATCCCCCCTGCCATCCCCCCTGCTGGCCCTTCCATCCCCCCTGCTGGCCCTTCTGCTCCTCACATCCCTCCTGCTGGTCCCTCCAATCCCTCCTGCTCCTCACATCCCTCCCGCTAGTCCTTCAATCTCTTCTCCTGCCCCTTCCATTCCCCCTGACCCCGTTTCATCCCTCCTCCTGTCCCTCTTCCGCACATCCCTCCTGCTGGTCCCTCCAATCCCTCCTGCTCCTCACATCCCTCCTGCCCTCCTCCCATCCCTCCCGCTAGTCCTTCAATCTCTTCTCCTGCCCCTTCCATTCCCCCTGACCCCGTTTCATCCCTCCTCCTGTCCCTCTTCCGTCCCTCCTGCTGCCCCTTCCATCCCTCCTGCCACCCCTTCCACTTGCCTCCCATCCCTGCTGCTGGTCCTTCCATCTCTTTTCCTAGCCCCTTCCATTCCCCCTGACCCCGGTTTCATCCCTCCTCTTGCCCCTCTCTTCCATCCCTCCTGCCCCTCGGGGCTCACTGTCCTCACCAAAGGCACTCTGCAGCCTTTGCTCGGGGGTCCTGCTGCTACCCCAAAGGTGCCCCCACCCAGATCACCAAAGGACCCTGAGGCCGAAGTGCTAGAGCAGAGCTGGAATTTCAGTGAGCCATCGAGCTTGGAAAAGCCCTTGG